TGAATCTGTGTAGAAACAAGTGAGTAACACAATACATTAGAAAAGTGAAAACAGTACTTACCACACTAATAACCAGTTACAGTTGACATATCTATTCATCCTTACTGTACACCTTACTGCACTCTACACATACTGACATGTCACAGCATGCACATGAGGCAGGAGACACTCCATCTGAAAATTTGTAAACCAGATGAGTAAACTTAGGTTTCTTAGTCACATGGCTGGCCAAGTGCCAGGGCTGGTGTTTGAACCCAGGCATTCTGGCACCGTAGCCTGATGCAGTGACTGCTGGTGAACAAATCCAAACAAATCACCCACTCATCCCCACACTAATCAAAACAACAGAAGTAGAAGGGAACCACAAACGATGATATTGCTTGTTGAGAAGGGAGGGGGTGACTTTAATTCTGTCTAGCAAATGGTTACCCAACACCCAATATGTGCTAAGGATTGTGCTAGGAATGGGGCAGGGACCCAAGGAAGAGGAGAGTAGGACTAATGCCCCCAGAACAGCGAGATCTGAGAGGAAGGGGAGGGAGAATGAGCAGCAGGGAGCACTCAAAGAAGGCTGAAGCTGAATTAACAGGTAAATGTGGAGAGGAACATATTCTAGGCAAACAGGAAATGGTAAAGACTAGAGGGAAGAAAGTCTGAATGGGACCCAAAGAAGCTTAGGGTGGCCAGAAAGAGAGGAGAATGGGGCTGGAGATGAGGCAGCTATCTTGAGCACCAAGCCACCAGGCAGGCCCTCACCAACCCAGACTCAACAGATCCTGCCACACTTGAAGGGCCCCAGGGATGAAGAGGCTGGTGGCTTACAACTATTACTTCCTAATAGCTCCAGCCTCCAGCTACTTCTCCCAGACCAGCTCTAAGTCTCTTCTTCCCACCAGGTGACCATCACGATTGGCCTGCGCTACCTACACACAGCACTGGAAGGTGTGTCCAACCCTGAAGACCCTGAATGTGAAAGTGAGGGCTGGCTTCTGGAAAAGAGCGTGTCGGAGACTTGGAAGGCCTTTCTGGAGAGCTTGAAAAAGTTGGGCAAGAGTAACCAGGTGGAAGCTGAGGGTGCAGACGCAGGCCAGGCCCCAGAGGCTGGCTGATGGCCCCAGGGCCCCCTCCCCTCCTGGACACTGAAAAGTAGTGGACTCCAGGAAAGTGGATACCCCCCTCATCCAATCTGAATCTCCCAAGGAGGGCGGCCGTCTTACAAACTCTTCTTGATGGTGGGATTTAAAGTTTAGGATTCCTAAAAGCATTTGGCAAACATTTGTTAAATGATTGACTTAAAAATGAATGAGCCTCTATTCAGGCCCACCTCATGGTGGACTCAGGGGGCCTCTTAGTGGATCACTCTTAAAAGCACATGAATTCAGTTCCACCCGGGACTGGACTACACCTACTACTGGACACACCTGAGGGCAGTTCCCCTTTTAGGAGTCTGCCATTACAAGCTCCAAGTTGCTTCATTCTATATTCAAAGCATCACTTGTTGCGTAAGCACAGAAGTCTAAAAAAATTTACTGGCCATGCTGTCGTGTTTTTCTTAAATGCCAATATTGACAGGTCAGCCATTTTATTTGTATAATTGTGGAAGGTGGGGGATGTTATACTTTTCTAAGAGTAATGCATTCTCCAAAGCACTGGGGGCTCACAAGAGGAATTCTTCAACGATGGGGCAAAGGAACTTAAAGACAGGATTATTTTCCTCACCAAATACATAGTTAAAGGCTATTTCTGTGTCACATTCTTATGCCCTCACTTAGCCTGGAGTGAGCTATGGGCTGAGGAAGTCAGGTTGTTAGCATATTCTGGCAACATCCCACCCCTAACGTGCCACGTAACCTCCCTTGGCTTATCTGTGGAAGCACTGGGTTAGATGGTTGCCTTTTACTGGAAGAGGAGCAACAATTAGACAAGAGTCCACTCTTTGGAGACTAGGCCTCACCTCTTGGAGGGCCCAGGAACACCCATACAGGTGGCCATGACAGCCCCCACGGACAACATGAATTGTCTACAGTGGAGGGCAAAACATTCTCTGCGAGCTTCTTCCTGTTTCTTTCCCTAGCTACCCATCCTGCAAAGCAGTATTTCTGGAATGCCTCCATATTTAAAGAAGATTCCTTGAGACAGTCCATCTTTCTGCGCTAGTGACAGTAAGAGAAGTTTTTAATTTCTCTCAGAAAAGCGAAAAACGGGAAGCTTTTATGGGAAGGAGAGAAGGACTTCATTGCTGTTCTAATGTGTTCAGTGGGGAGAAAATTTAAGATTTCCGGTGCTGCCTGGGGCATGTTCTGGGGCTCTAGTTCTCCCAGGCGTTAGGATCAGATCAAAGATATTTGGATACTATCAAACGCTGGTCCCAGGTTTAATTAGACTTCTGAATCTTCTTGAGACCAAAGAGTGGTCCACATTGAACATGCTGAGGGAGTCAGCCACCTCTGAGGGTCCTGTAACTCTCTCCCCTCAGGAGTACTGAGAACCATCATCAAAGTGCTGCTCTAGGCCACGTGTAACTATGCTGTTAACAGCTGTATCATAGACATTAAAAATTATATTGTGTGAAAATTACTTGTGTTAAGTGCCTATCTTAGCCTATTCGACAGTATGTTATTACAGGATCCCCAACTTTAGCAAGTATTTATCAAAATCAAATTGAACCCGACCCTTAAAGGAAGCATGGCTACTGGTAAGGGTAGCTGTTTGAACAGCATGGATGTCACCACTCTCTCTCTCTCTCACCACCTCGTCTGCAACACTGATTATGAGGTCATCCAAATAATCTCAACATTTGCTAGTTTAGATCAGAGCTGAACTCATTTAATACTTTAATATGTTGAATCTTAGTGATTTAAGCAAAACTTCCAAACTTTTTTTTTCTGTTCTAGTCAAAACATATTTTCCCAAATGGGGAAATGGAGTCTCTATGGGGCCAGGTTATAGGGCAGATGTAAATCTGAGAGCTATTGGGAGGACCAAGGGCAAACTGATCCTACAATGAATATCCCTGGTTGGTTCAGAGCAGACTTAGGGTGAGCTGCATTTATTAGGGCTTCTCAGGTGGCTGTCAGCAAGACTCTGTGCCAGGTCTTCCTTGTGTCCAACCTCAGTCTTTCCTGGGACCGGTGTAAATTCATTTCTCCCAAGGGACTCAGCCAGGTTTTCAAGTCCGGCAGGCCTAGCCCTGGAGTATGGTAAGAGGTAAAGGCAGTACCTTAGGCCTTTTACACTTTTAAAACATTCCACATTGAAGAAGTAGGTCCTAGCTGCTTATTTTGAACATTTTTGAAGACAAATATGCGAGAATCTGTGGTTTCAGTTTAAGGACCCATAGCTTTGCAACACTTTCAAGCCTAGGACTGAGCCATCAGCAAATAAACCCCAAGTAACCTCAATACAGGTTAATAGGATTAGGTGCTTGCTCCCGCATGCTTCCCTGCCCCTCCTAGTCCGGGCACCTGTAGTGCTAGGCCAGCAGGTTTGCAGCTTAGCCAGGAGCTGGGTGGGGGTGGGGGGTGGTAGGGAGAAGACAATTAGGGCCTCTGACCCGCTACTACATTAAGAACATGGCTCCTGATGACAGTGCAGCCAGCCAGCAGCATAGTGTGTTAGGAATAGGAATGTGGCAGTGGGGGGTGGCAGTATGTAAATCAGGGAGAGAGGGCCTTCCTGGTCTTCAGTGGACAGGAGACTGGCCTGCAGAGAAGAAACACCAGTCCTTGATTCCTGATGGTATGCTTTGTCCTCTCAAATAGAGGAAGAGTATAAACAGCAAAGTTAGAGAATGTTGTACAAAGATGGTATACAGTCGGTTAAGATAAAGGGACAGCTCCTAGCTATTTACCCAAGGGGAATAGAAACAGGTCCACACAAAAATCTGTGCATTAATGTTTTAACTTTTATCATAATCACCAAAAGCCTTCCAAGTGTCCTTCACACCTGATAACTGTATAAACACCTGCACAATAGAACGCGGCTCAGCAACCAAAAAGAACACAGGTGACTCTCCAATGCATTAGTCTTCTTAGTGAGAGAAGCCAGGCTCAAAAGGCTACATGTGATATATATTTATATAACATTCTGGAAGAGTCAAAACAAAGGGACAGAAAGGTTAATGGTTCCCCGGGGTCAGGATGGGGGAATATGATGACCACAAATGGGCATGAGGCAGCTTTGTGGGGATATAGAACTGTTCTATTTGATTGTAGTGGTTGTGAACCAACTCTATGCATTTGTTAACATGCATAAAATTGTCCACTAAAAAGGGTGAATCTTACTATGTGAAAAAATAAACCCTTAATAAACCTGACTTTAAAAAGCAAGAGTAAAAAAAAAAAAAAAAAAAGTAAAAAAAAAATAAAAAGCAAGAGTAAGGACAGAACAAAGAGTGTCAGAAGGCTTAATGAATCTTAGAACTGCTGACATTTGGACCAGGGAAGGGAATAAGTGGGAGCAGCATTAAAGGCCAGGAAACAGGGAAAGCATATGGAAACCTTGCTTTCTTAGCTTACATCTTCCATTTTAAGAAGATTTTTGAAAAGCACAGCAGAGCTCTTATAGGCAATGACTCTCCTGCAAATAAAGGATAGAGTTTCCTTCCTACACATCTCCCATAAGCAGAGAATATCTGGGGAGTGTGTAAGAACAAGGATCTGGAGATTACCAGGGAAGAACAATCAAGAAGACTATAAACTTGGAGACAGGTCTTGTTGCTAGGAGAGACTCCGAGTGCTGTTTTCCCCAGTGATTTGAGGTCCAAAATGGTTCAGAAAGGTCATGAGCTGTCATAGCCAATGAATATGAAGCTTAATCAGATGAAATGATGATCCAGCTTTCTCTGGGAAGGTCAGGATGGTTTCGCTAATGGCCATAATTGACACTAATAATATAAGCATCTTAATTTTTAAGCTAATACAGATGTCCTACTTTATTTGTAGCAAGGTGACATGGGGGACATTTTTATGGCATTTTAAACAATGTAGGCAGATCCAAAGTAATGTCAACACCTAAAGCATTTATTTGGATAGCTTTAAACTTTTTACATATGATACATTCCAAATTTTACAAGTTGTCCACAGATATTAAAGTTATAGCCAATTTATTAAACAGATATGATTTTCCCTGATATGGAAAGCATGTTATATAAACATTTCTACAATAAAGATAATACATGCGGAACAAATCATAAATCATTGGCAAGGATGACAATTAGCTTAATTATGCACACACTAGAAGATAAAAGGGTGCGTGTGTTGCTATTTCATGTAAGTTCATCTTCTCTCAGACTCTCTGTCATTTTCAGAGAATGAAATCCAGGGACACCCTCTGCTAACAATGGACTTCTGTAAAGTCATTCCTGAAAGCCACAGTATTGTTATGATTTGGTGGAAATGTTTATAATTCATTTACAGAGGGAGAAACCTGGTCCTATTTTAAATTCAAGCTTGGGGGAACATATGGAGAAAAGCCAAAAGAAGCTGGGCTTAAATGCTAAAGGAACGGGGATGCGACAAAGACCAAAATAAACATTAAAATCATTATGCCATCCACAGCCCCAGTTCTTATGAATGGAAGAAAGGCCAGATAAAGGGGGAAGAATGCTGTGTTCTAATTTGGATTTTCTTCCTGTTGGTCCTCCTCTCAGATGGTGAGCCAGTCCCAAGCAAGAAGGGTTTCAGAAGAGGGGGTCCTGTCACACACTACCTTAGAGAGGAAGCAGTGGATGTGGCTTCTGTATCCCTCTTTATTTTAGCCTGAAGTCTGGATTTCTGACCTTCCTCCTGGGTTTACTGCAGTGTATACAAAGCTGAATGGAACAGAACTTACAGATGCAGTTCAAGAAAATTGAGTGAAAGGTTTACTTGCATTGGCTAAAAAAATCCAAGAGTCTCTTATTATTCATTTGTCCCTTAGCCCTACCTTAGAGAGGCTCAGAATTTATTCCTCCACTAAATCTGCAAGTACTCTCTGTATTCAAGCTCTCAGCACACATACATCAAATGAGAGTGGCTATGTGGTATGTAACAGTTAAAAGCTATTCTACTAAGCGGCTATCATTCTAGGAAGGCACCTCTTAGTAAGAACAATAATGCTTAAAAATAATAAAAACCCTGGGCACAAAAGCTGTCCCAGGAATGTACTAAGTGAGCCAGCAGGTAAACAGTAATTCGTCTATTCCAGGAAATGCTAGAAAGGGTAGGGGAACCTCAAAACACTGAATTCTCATTTTTTCTTCTAGTTTGATTCTAGATGCATACAATCTCTTGGTTTAGTCTTAGAAATGGGAATATATTGTCTGAAAAATTAGGATAGTCTAAGTTTTCAAAAAGCCCTTTAAAGTGAGTTTTTCTCTCAAAGCCAAAAGTCTTGCCCCCCTCCCCTACAAATCCAACTTTTATAGCCCTGAAAACCACCCAGCATATGAAGCAAGCTTGATATCCATCCCACAGGCTCCTCCTGCACATGTGCCCCAACCTGCTCATAGCCAATGGAGACAGGGATAGCCACTTTCAAAATCCACTGCTTTGCTCTTAGAGGTAGGGTCCTGTTAGCAGAGGGGACAGCGACCTAGTCCCAGTGTTGAGAGTCACTGAAAGGGACCAGGAAATGTGACCCCAATAGACCACAGAGACTGTTTCCTGCTGCTGTCAAATCAGCTTCAGGCCTGGAGTGCCTTGTGATCAGTAACATAACATGGCTCAGCCTACTGGGAATAGTCAAAGCGGTTAGATGCCCACAAAGGGGCTGTGCCCAGCCTGGGAAGAGAAGTTCCTTGCTGAATTCTAAAACTCAAGCAGTTATATTGAGGGACACAGCAAACGGTGCAAGAAAATCCACTGATGGAAGATGATTTTCATCAGTCCCTGGAGCCAGAAACTATGAAAACAAAACTGGGAAGAAAAGCTTAAATATAGAATTTATTTCCAAATTCAGTAGAATTTATTTCCTATTCTTTCCTGAAAAGCCAACTGGGTTACAAAAATCCAAGTTTATGTTTTTGGTAGTGAAGTAACTATAAATGTTGCCAGTCGATGCCAACCAGTGTCTGATTTGCTTCCTGTGCATGTCCAATTTCCTCCGTGATACTGTGCTGGTGCCAAAGCTTCTGAATCTTCTTAAATCGCTCTTTGCACAAATGTAAAGGATTTCCCCGTCTAGAAGGAAGACGCATGTCATTCAGGATGCATTCTTTTTATTCATCTATTATACCCCAACTTTTAGGAACAGTTACAAGTTACTGGTTTAAGATCTTCTGCAAAATTCCTGTTTGGTATGAGACTGTGGCTATTAACACATTAGCTCTGAAGGCTGGCTAGGAGCAGCTGAAGGGAATAAGTACTGAAAAGAAGAGGAAAATGTATAGGAGCTACACTTACTCAGATTACGGTGAGGGAAGAGAGGCTAGGGTTGAGCAGGCGGGTCTGGGTGGAGAGACTACAACTACCTATTCATTATTCACTTTGTTGGTAAAATATAAGACTGAAGGAGGCAGGGGAGATGGAAAGAGAACTACAGAGGTAAAAATGTTTCCCATGGTGCTGTTTTTTAGCCATAAAGTCTAGTAAGCAAAGCAGGCAATTGTGAATAACATCCGGGTCTAATTTAACCAAAGAAGTTTTGATGAGTTCACGCTGGTGGCCTTTGCTCCTGATTCAGAGCACACACAATCCTCTTACTCTCTAACCAGGGCTCTTCCTCCTAAGAGCCCACATTCCTCAGGGCAATGGAAGAACCATCACCAGGTGGCATTACGTGCATAACCTTGTAGCCAAGCCCCTGGGGCAGCCTTCTACTTATCTTGCCTTGGTTTCCAGTTCTTCATTTTCTGCTTCCCAAGGCTGGATGGTTTTACCTAGGTTAAGACTTTCACCTCCTCTGGGCAAAGAGATGGTCTAGAAGAAGTTAATAGTGCTTGAGGGAACTGTTGTTAGCATTTTTCTCATGATATAATAGAAGCAACCAGAGTAGAAGTGATTAAGCCTCAAATACTGTGGTATTGCTCTGTATGTTCTACATCTTTGTCCTCAGATTTTTTTTTTTAAGATTTAATTTATTTATTCATGAGAGACACAGAGAGAGAGGGAGAGAGTCAGAGACACAGGCAGAGGGAGAAGCAGGCTCCATGCAGGGAGCCCAACATGGGACTTGACCCCACGTCTCCAGGATCACGCCCTGGACTGAAGGTGGCGCTAAACTGCTGAGCCACCTGGGCTGCCCTCAGATTCTGATAATAAAATAAGCACATCTCTCTTTTTTTCAAGTAGGCTTTATGCTCAATGTGGGGCTTAAACGCATGCCCTGAGATCAAAAGTTTTATGCTCTACTGACTGAGCCAGCCAGATGCCCCAAACACATCTCTTATCAATTAATATTTGCTCTTTTATAACCTCTGAACAACACTGGGTCTACTCTTACAAAGTCATATAAGTCACAACAGGCTACTTCAATGGTTCTCTGGAGTGACAAATGGGAAAAAACTTGCTTTTCTCTTATTATTTCCCTTATCTGTCCTGATTGCCCTCATGACATTCTTATTTATTTATTTTAGAGAGAAAAAGAAAAAGAGAGAGAGTACAAGTGGGGGAGGGGCAGAGGGACAAGCAGACTCCCTGATCACTAGGACTGATCAGTGTACTGAAGGCTCTGGAGGCCCAGGATCAGCCAACCCAGTGCCCTAGGATGGGCTCTTACCTGAGTCCCTGGTCAGTTTCCCCATAGTCATCAAGGTAAGGAGGAGAATAAAAACAGCCTTTGGTTTTGCCAGCTAAAAATAGCACCTGACATTCCCGCACTCTGTAGAGAGACCATTTATACATTACAGATTAGTAACCAATGTTTGGATTCAGTTCCTAATGGACTGAAGTCTTATAAAAAATAAACAACCCCAGTGTTAGAAGAAACAGCCTTTATAGCAGAGATACTTGAAATATCAACACATCTGCCCAAATTTTAAAAATAACTAAAATGATTGTATTATACCCAATAGTGATTGCATTGTAAATCAATATAGTGAGGAAGAGGAATATTTTAGACTAGGAATCAGTGGCTCATGTAATACTGGCATTTAAAAAACTATTAAGTGTAAGAGAGATAGTTAACTTTTAAACATAGATACTGATACTTTAACCACTATTATGTGCGAACCACTCATTTAAAAAGAATGTACAAAAACATTCTGAATTAGGTTGATTTGAAACACAAAGCAATACTGTACATGACTGAAAGAATTTTGAAATATGCCAGACAAGAGACATTTTTATTTCTTTAAAGGGTTATTAAAAAACACGTCTCCCGATCCCTTTGAGAGGTTTGCCTGGCCTTTTTTGGGTATTAATAATCCAGCTCAACTCAACATTTATAGAGAATCTGTCATATACAAGATATTGTCAGGCACCAGGGGACTAAGTTACCTAAGATACAGATCTAATTTATGCCTCAAGGGAGCTGAAATTCATGTCACCTCCCTCCTTCAAACCCTGAACTGAGTTCCATCTCACTCAGAAATGTCACCAGGACACAGCAGGCCCTAGGACTCTCCTGTATACACCACTCCAGCAACACAAGACTCATTACTGTTTCCTGAACACGGCAAGCACATTCCCCAACAATTTTATAATTGCTGTTTCCTGCCTAGAGTGTTCTCCCTACTTCTTTCAGTGTTTATTCAAAGGCACCTTCTTGGTTCCCTAACTAAAATCCAACTCCCCATCTGCCATTTCATATTCTTCTTCCTGCTTTATTTTTTCTCCTCCAAGTGTATCACTTTCTAAATTATCAGCCTTATTATTTTTTATCTCCCATGCTAGAAAATGAGTTCCACAAAGGCAGAGATTTTTGTCTGTTTTGTTGACTACTACATTCTCAAAGCCCAGTACACAGTAGTCACTAAGTATTTGCTGTATGTTGTCCAATATATACAACCATAGTTGACCTTAGAACAACAAGGCAGTTAGGCATGAGGACCCCTCCCCCCTACCTGTGCAGTTGAATACCTGCATATAACTTTGGACTCCCTCAAAACTCAACTATTAACAGCTCACTGTTGACTGGAAGCTCTACTTGGTAACATAGACAATTAACACACATTTCGTATGTTGTATGTATTATGTACTGTATTTACAATAAAGCAAGCTAGAGAAAAGAAAGTGTTATTAAGAAACTCAAAAGGAAAATACATTTGCAGTACTAAACTGTATTTATTGAAAAAAATCTGTGTATGAGTGGACTTGCATGTAGTTCCAACTCATGTTGTTCAAGTGTCAAGGTTATATACATCAGGCAGTGATATGTATGGATCCCAAACCATAAGGATATGGCAAAAGAAGTAATTTTGACTGGGTTTGGGCAGAAAATCAAGGACAAGTGGAAGTTTCACATTAGGATGAGGCACAAAGAAAGGAGAATTGAACTGTCATGGAGGTGGGAAGAATGACAATGGAAGAGGCAAAGAGACAGTAGGATCCAAATATGAGATATGAAGAGACAAGGCTTCCATGTTCCTTGAATGAACAAACACAGAACAGCAGTCTCAAAATTCTTTGTAACATAGTAGCTTCTTGTGCCATCCCTCAACATGTATTTACCACAGCAGGTGCAAAGCGGCAGATGCAAAGAAAAAAGCTCTCGTCAGAGCCTTACCTGAGGAAGATGCCCACCCCAGAACCACAGGAGTAGGTGTGAGCTGTGCAGGCTCCCACGTCTTCCCCTTCCAGTTCAGTCTGACAGCAGTAGCTCTGGGAGCACAGCAGAGTTCCACACACAAGGCACAGAGTGGGGGCTCTGCTCTTATCACCACCTGATTTGGGGCATCTCCATGGGACAAAAAAAAAGCTCAAGTCATTGCTCTAAAAAGGAATGGCTAAAGAGCTGACAGTGGTAAAGCCACCCTGGAAAAAGTTCTGTAATATCAAGCAGAGCTGAAGATTCCTGTGTCCTATGGGCCAAATTTGGTTCTAAAACTGGGAACATCTCACACAAACAACATGTACTGGAAATATTTAATCAACATTTGGAAAAGAGGTAAATAAAATCAGTAAGATAAAAAAATGTAAATTCTGCTCTCATGATGAAATACTACACAAAGTGAAAACTGATGAATTAACGGTTATGTATATCGGATGCATAAAAAAATCTTACAAATAGTACTGAATGTAAGAAACTGTAGAATACGTATAGTAGAGAATGCCATTTTTAAGTTTAAAACATACAAAATAATAATATATGCTGCTTGGTAATATAAGCATTTGTTGCTAGCCTATAAATGCATAGGAAGCTTGATATTCTGTGTTGAACAGTGGGTCTCTGCAAGGGAAGAAGAGGACACACCAGAGTAGAGGCAGGTACACAAGGCAGCTTCAATTGCCAAGGAAATGTTCAGTTTTTACACTACTGATTATTGCTTATGCTGTTTCTATGTCAAACATATACAAATATTACTAAAGGGTTCTTATTAAAGTGCTATTTAGATAACCTGTAATGAATCAACTTTGTCACCCATCACCCCGTTTCCCATACCTTATGCTGAAGCATGCTGGAATGGTGTCATTACAAGACAGGCAGTATAAAACACTACTGACATCATAATTCCCTGCCCCCCCCCCCAAATGGAATGATAATAAAATCCCTTAAAATCTGTATAAAGCAGTGAGTGCTTCCAGTGATAAGAAATGCTTAACACTTGAATATCAAAACTTACGAGAAATTAGATGCTTGATTAATGAGGCTGCTATAATCCTCTGGAAGGTCTATTAATTTGTTGGATTCTCTTGGATAGCTAAAACAAAACACATAACAATCAAACATAAAAACCAGTTAGAAATCATAACAATGACAAGTAACTGTTAGTTTAAACAAATAAAGGAGGACTGAATCTGAGTGACTAGGTATTACCATAGTGCTACGAGAAGCCACAAAAGAAATTTAAAAAAGCACTCTTTTTTTTTGGATGGAATTTCCTTATTGTTTTTTAATTTTTTAAAAAAGATTTTATTTATTCATGAGAGACACAAGAGAGAGGCAGAGACATAGGCAGAGAGAGAGAAGCAGGCTTTATGCAGGGAGCCCAACGAGAGACTCGATCCCAGGACTCCAAGATTACGCCCCGGGCTGAAGGCAGGCGCTCAACCACTGAGCCACCCAGGCATGCTTATTTTTTAATTTTTAAAGGTAAGCTCTATGCCCAAAATGGGGCTTTAACTCACAACCCCAAGATCAAGAGTCCCATGCTCTCCCCCTGAGTCCTATAGGCACCCCAACAAGGCACTCTTAAAAAACAGAGGGCCCTTGGGCTTACATGTTTACTTGAAGAGCTCAGAATACATTATCAAGACAGTAGACAGTACTTAGTATCTTTCCCATTTAAGGGAAAATCTGGTAGCTCTGGGCAGAAGGGGAGATTCCTCCCTGGGCTTCTATGGAAAACAGAGTAATGGAGAGCCCAACCACACAACTCAGGATAAGACAGAAAAGATATGAAACGGGTTTTCCAATTGTGCAATAAAACCCCTTTTGGGTCATGGTTAAAAAAAAAAAAAGAAAAAGATATGCTTTATTAAGGGTGATTTTAAGGCAGAAATGACTTGGGAAGAGAGAGGGCAGTAGAAGAACAGACAGATTTTCTTTAAATTAGAGATACCAGGCCATATTGATTCTGTGACAAGTTAATTCATATAGAAATGTAGATCCAAATTCATCTGGTATGTGAGGATCTGTTCTAGTGCTCACACATGCGCAGCATAGACTGTGGGATGTGGCCTGTCCCTGAGGCAGGGACAGGCAGCCAAGGGGAAGTGACTGAGACAGATTTTTTTTTTTTTCTAAATAGGGAGTGGGAGAGAAAAAACCCTAAGCAGGCTCCATACCCCATGGGAGTCCAACACAGATGTTTGATCTCACAACCCTGAGATCATGACCTGAGCCAAAATCAAGAGTAGGATGCTTAACTGACTGAGCCAGCCAGGTCCACCTGAGGGGAATTTTGGGGAGACACACATGCCAATGATAGAGAAATTAGATTTGGTAGGTAAGGACAGGGTTTTTTTTTTTTTTCAGTTTTTTTTAGTTTTTAAGTAATCTCTACACCCAGTGAGGGGCCCAAACTCATGACCCCAGCATTAAGGGTCAATGTTCTACTGACTAAGCCAGTCAGGCACCCCTATGCCTGAGTATTTTTTAAAGGTTTCCAAAATTATTCTGATGTATACCTCAGGTAGAGAACTACTGTTCCACATGAGTTTTCCAACTGCAGAGTTGAACCATATGAAATTGGTTATATTCAACCTAATAAGATTAGAGTGCTATCATTTCTAGATTTGGGACAGGATGCATACAAAAATCAAAGAAACAGATAATCTCCTCTAACCTTCTGATTTTTATGGATGATGTATTCAGTAGAACCAAGGAGAGATTTACAGATGAAATACATCTGTTATCACCTAGGATAGCACAGTTTACTACAGAAATCAGAATAGAGCTAATCTCAAAAAGAATGAAGAAAAAAAAGCCATGATTTGATAATCACTGAAGTTGAGTGACAGGAATGTCAAGTCTTATACGATTCTTTATACTTTTGGATAGTTTAAAATTTTCCATAATAAAAGGGAAAAAACAGAGCTAAGAAAAACCTGGAAAAGGATTCAAATTTTTAAAAAAGCAAACATTCCAAAATACAATACTTTTGTTATTTGTTTCTTCTGCCAAGAATAATGCACCGTATTTATATTCATAATTCTTATTCTTTAGAAACTCTCGTTAGACTGAGAAAAAAGTAGTATGAAGGCAAGATGTTCTACCTCTTGGAATCACTGAAGATTTGCAAGGTCATTTTTATTTTATTTTATTTTATCTTATTTTATTTATTTTTTAAATCTTTTTTTTTTAATTTTTATTTATTTATGATAGTCACACACAGAGAGAGAGAGAGAGAGAGAGAGGCAGAGACATAGGCAGAGGGAGAAGCAGGCTCCATGCACCGGGAGCCCGACGTGGGATTCGATCCCGGGTCTCCAGGATCGCGCCCTGGGCCAAAGGCAGGCGCCAAACCGCTGCGCCACCCAGGGATCCCTGCAAGGTCATTTTTAAAGGAATGGCACACTTACATCCTGCTTCCTCTCTATCTCCTGCCCAAACAAATCTTTATAATCTTTAACTTACCTTATAGCATCTCTTTCACCTTCAAGATATCTTTTAACTTCAATGTTATGACACCAACTTCAATGTAATGGGGGTGGCGGGTGGGGAAGAGAAACAAAATCAAAACTTTACTTTTGAAGGGTTATAATAGAATTTTTTCCTCTCTATTTCTCTATTCAGTAAGAGAAAAACAAATCTTCTTGGCTTATTTACTACATCAAAAGAAAGAAGAAGGAAGACATATTTTGCTACAACTTTTAAATCAGAAGAATATGAGCTGTGGTTTTCTAAAAGCATACACTATTATCCCACTCAATTGGACACTCTAGAAAAACCAGTATAAATTAATGACAAATTCTTACTATTTGGAGCTAGAATACTCATGAAAAAAACATTTTTTTTTATTGCGGCAAAATATACGTAATGTAAAGCTTACCATTTTAGCCATTTTTAAGTGTACGGTTCTGTGGCATTAAGTACATTCACATTATTGGGCAACCATCCCTATCATCCATTTCAAGAACTTTTTCAACTTTCCCAAATGAAATTCTGCACTCGTTAAACACTAACTCATTCCTCCCCTGACCCAGCCTCTGGCAACCACCATTTTATTTTCTGTCTCTATGAATTTGACTACTCTAGATACATCATGTAAACGGAAACATACAATAATTGCTTCATCCGTGTTGTAGCAGGGGTCAGAGTTTTCTTCCTTTTTGAGGTTGAATAGTATGTCACTCTATGTATATACTAAGTATTGTTTCTCCACCTTTTGGCTATTATGAATAATGCTATGCATGACTGTACAAGTATCAGTTTAAGTCCCTACTTCCAGTTTTTTTTTTTTTAAAGATTTTATTTATTTATTCATGAGAGAAACACAGAGAGAAGCAGAAACCTAGGCAGAGGAGAAGCAGGCTCCCTATGGAGAGCCCGATGTGGGACTCAATCCCAGGACCCTGGGGTCAGGACCTGAGCTGAAGGCAGATGCTCACCCGCAGAGCCACCGAGGTGCCCCCTGATTTCAATTCTTTTTGTAATATATACCTAGAAGTTGAATTGCTGGATCATATAATTAATTCTATGTTTAACTTTTTGAGGGACTGCCATACTATTTTCCAGTGCAACTGCCCTATTTTGTATTCCTACCAGCAATGAACAAGATTTCAATTTCTTGACATCCTAACGTGTTATTATTGTCTGTCTTTTGTATACGTGCTGCTGAAGCGAGCACAATTGTCTGTTTTTTGACTACAGCTATCTTAATAGGTGTGAAGTAGCACCTCACCGTGGTTCTTATTTGCATTTTCTTAATAACTGACTAGTGATGTTGAGCACATTTTCATGTGCTTATTGGCCATTGTATATCTTCTTTGGAGAAGTCCTTTGCTCCTTTTTATTTTTTATTTTATTTTATTTATTTATTTATTTATTTATTTATTTATTTATTTTTAAAATTTTTTTTCCCCTTTGCTCCTTTTTAAATGGGTAGTTGCTTTTTTGTTGAGATGTAAGAATTCTGGCCATATATTCACACGGTCATACATTCTGAATATTAATCCCTTATCAGATGCATGATTTGTAAATATTTCCCCCCATTCTGTGGGTAGAACAGCTAAGTTTTAATCTTAACTAACTTGATATGAATGACAAATAACCTTCCCTAGACTTCACTTTTCTCAAACATAAAGTGAGGGTATTAGACTAGATGACCCTCAAGGTTTTTCAGTTCCAAAAATTTACGGAATAGAGTCCTTAATACGTAAGTTAATATGAGGAAATAAACATTCCTACCACTACTCTCCTTATAAGCAAATCTACTTATGCTATTCACTAGCTTGGCAAAAACCATGCCACAAAGGTAAACTCTTAACTAAAAAGGCCTAATCCTTATGAGATGAGTTACACAGATTGAATTCTGCTAGGCTCACTATCTGAGAATTTCATAATATGTGATAAATCTAAGTTTGTTTCCATAGAACTATTCAATATAATGGAAGAAAAATGTATAATCATTACCTTTCAATCAGTAATTTTGTTATCTCATTATTTTCTTGAAAAAGGCAAATGAGGTTGTTTGGCAGGGAAAGGTAGTTACACAAATGTTCAAAATGGCTTGTTCCAGAAACTGCAAATGGAGAAGAGAAGAGTGATGCATATAACAACTAAGAGTAGGTCCTGCAGGAGAGTAAGCAATAGCAGAGCTTAAAAGCATAATGAAAGAATCTGAATTTACAAGTTCACAAAAGGACATGTGGAAGGGGACCACAGAAAATGGTACAATTGAGAGCAGAGCCAGGCAATTCCCACAACAAATTGGTTACAATTTCTTGGTGTCTCCGTGTGACCATTTGCAAAATGATGTACTTACCCGATCTACTTCACTGGGGTTATGTGTTATGTGTTATGTGTTATGTCCTGGGCCAAAGGCAGGTGTTAAACCCCTGAGCCACCCAGGGATCCCCACTGATACTACACTTTAATGAAATGAATCAAAACAGAACACAGAGAACTGTAAAACACAAAATGAATTCCTTCATTAAAATCATATATGTGCAATTATGGGTATTCTGAACATTAATGTCACACATTTCAAGTTAGAAAACACTTGACAGGGATCCCTGGGTGGCGCAGCGGTTTGGCGCCTGCCTTTGGCCTGGGGCGTGATCCTGGAGACCCAGGATCGAATCCCACGTCAGGCTCCCGGTGCATGGAGCCTGCTTCTCCTTCTGCCTGTGTCTCTGCCTCTCTCTCTCTGTGTGTGACTATCATAAATAAATAAAAATTAAAAAAAAAAAAAAAACACTTGACATTGTGAGTTATCCTCTTTTATTATCTGAAGAACCCAGTTTATGGATAACATATAATTGAATATTTTAACTCTGAAAGCAAAACTAGATTTTTGTAAATAAAAATAGTACACTTACTGAGACGCAAATAAAATCACACATATATATAAATATGCATTTTTATTCTATAATTGTGTACATCACCACAATCAGCTATATTCTATTTTTTTATTCTATTTCTTTTTTTTAAAATATTTTATTTAATAATGACAGACACACAGAGGGAGGCAGAGACATAGGCAGAGGGAGAAGCAGGCTCCCTGCAGGGAGCCTGATGAGGGACTTGATCCCAGGGACTTGAGCCTAAGGTAGACGTTCAGCCACTGAGCCACCCAGGTGTCCTTGTAAGTTTTCTTTCTTTCGTTTTTATTTTGAGAGAGTATACGTGAGTGGGGTGGGGAGGGGCAGAGAGGAAGAGAGAGAATCTTAAACAGGCTCCACGTCCAGCATGAATCCTGACTTGGGGTTCAATCTCATGACACTGAGGTCATGACCGGAGTTGAAATCAAAAGTTGGATGCTTAACTGACTGAGCCATCCAGGTGCCCCTTAAATTTTTATTTTTGTAAGTTACCTTAATTATAAACTGCTGGAGTGAAAGACTACCTACATTTCCCACATTTTGAAGAAAACTAGAAATTACCTTGAAGTTCAGGTGGAGAAGGAACGCCATTTAAGTAATGAAAAAACAAAGCGCAACACTTAAGGAAAGGCATGATTCCATTTCTGACATTCCTCCATAGATGCCAGCCAGATGGTATTTCTTTCAAGGCACTATAAAGAGAAAAATGATAATTGGGAAATCTAATGAGGAAAGGTCATTCTAGTTATAGCACAGTGTGAAAACAGGGACAACTGCTATTTGGAATCAGTGGCACAGAGGCATATAAGGAGCGGGCAGCCCCATTACAGGACGTCAAGTATAAATAGTGCTATAGCTGCCAATGCTCTTACTAAAATTTATAAAAGTAATATAGCTATATAAAGAGAAAATTTGGAAAATAAAACACTATCCACTATTCTAGAAACTTTTATCAGCATTGTTATTCTGGCTATTTCTATTTGCACACTCATTTAGGTCTTACATAGCTATAGTTGTAACATATGAAATATAAAATTAACTTGTTTTTCAAAACATCATAAAACATAATTCTTATCAGAACTATAATATTCTGGAATACATCAATCATAATATTCAGCAAATTATTCCCTTGTAAGCAAACACTGTGATTGCTTTAAATTCTTTGCTAATACAAACAATATCACAGTGTGCATCTTTTTTATGCCTATAGGTTTTTTTGTATGTCTAATTATTTTTTCAGTGTGCACTCTCAGAAATGAGTGACTCAAAGAATAAATATGGTTCTTGACATACACTGTTAAAAAGCTAAGTGAAACAAACTGCTGTACCAAATCCAAATGGCTCCAACAATATGTGGAATTCTAGTAATTTCCCTGCACTCTGGCTAGTCCTGGATATTACCTTAAAAATATATTACGCTGACTTAATTTGCATTTTAAAATTCCTCGTGAGACAACATATATTTTAGAATGGTACTTTTCAAAGTAAGTTCTATACTTCCACTAGTCACTGCCAAATGCTCTGAGCAAAAGAAAGATTCCATGGCCAAATACATGTGGGAAGCTCTATAAATTACTCCTTTCTCAGAGATTTCCAATCATGTTATTATATTAAAATGTCTGGAGTTCTGTGGATCACTTCCTCATCTCTTTTAAACATGTCAACAGGCAGCAATTTCCCTTTTTCAACAAATGAATTCCTTTTTCATGCTATCACTTACTGATATTTGGGAACTGTGATGATGTAAAGATCATGATCCTACCTTCCTGTACACTGGTGAAGTGTTTTATACAAAGCAAGAACTGCTAATTCTTCTTCACCAGCAGGATTTTCTTGATCCATGCCATTCTCTTCTGAAAGATATGGAAATATTAGTACTTCACATTTGCCTATGAAGTAGATTAAGAACCATATCATTTAAGTGCTCAAATGGACTCCTATATTTGCACATTATCTGAAAATACTCCTACAAAATACAAAGAACTTTAATCTCTCAAGTGCTCAGATAGTATCAATCTACATCTTAACAAGGAGCCAGGAGGCTTTAGGAGAGGAAGCAAATGTGCTTCAGCAGGCCAGGAAGCAGCCTGTGAATAAAATTAGCTAAAAAAAAAAAAAAAAAAAAAAAAAATCAGCTAAATATACATTCTATGGTACTAGACTATTACTGAACTTACAAAATAAAAATAAAAGGAAAAACATTCACATAGCTAGGCTATTGTTTATTTATTTATTTATGATTTTATTTATTCATGAGACACACACACACACAGAGGTAGTGGCAGAGAAGCAGGCTCCACGCAGGGAGCCTGAGGTGGGACTTGATCCTGGGACTGCAGGATCACACCCTGAGCTGAAGGTGGACGCTCAACTGTTGAGCAAGCCAGGTGTCCCACTAGGGGATTTTAATAGAACGGAATTTGTTTCAAAACTTTCTACATAAGGATCGACAGAAAAAAGAAGTAGCCTAATCATAATTTACGCATTTCTCATCTAGGCACCTCTTCCTTTTACTTTTCTTTTAAACAGAAAACTCAAGTACTTTGTCCTTCATGAAGCTGAAAAAAGAGTTACCTGTACACGAGGTAAGTAAGATCTGTACGATGTGTGCCATAGTAACCAGATGGAAAATGTGAAGATCTCCAGTGCCAAGGCTGATCCCAGAAAAATCCTGACACTGCAATGCAGGGAAAGCAAGCACCAAGCCCACCTAGATACCAAATGCCAAGGGTCAGACAGGTCACCTTTCCTTCCAAACTTGAAGATATTTCCAATTTCTTAACATGATCCCCTTCTGAGCTCAGCCCATCCCCTTCAGAAATCTATATTGTTACAAGGCACATGTAGAAATTCCACTGGGACTGGCTACATGAAATGACTTATGGACTAATGGAGTCTTCATAAGCACTTTTTCATATGCCCAGTGATTTCTAATACATACCTTACTGTTAGTTAAAATACATGAATTCTAGCTCATTTTTTTTTTTAAAGATTTTATTTATTTATTCATGAGAGACACAGACAGAGGCAGAGACACAGGCTCTCTACAGGAGCCAGATGTGGGACTCAATCCCGGAACCCGGGATCACACCCTGACTCGAAGGCAGACACTCAACTGCTGAGCCACCCAGGTGTCCTGAATTTCACTCCTCTTATGAGCTTTTTAGACAAGTTCACACCTTTGAGCCTCAGTTTTCCTGCTGGTAAGCTAGCATAATATATATATGTTTTTAATATCTCAGTAGCAAGGATGTAAGGGCTAACTAATAAAGAAAGTGAAAGCAGTCAGGTGCACAATAAATGGTAGCTTGCTTGTGAGCCACCTGCTGCCTGTCCAATGGTGCCAGTGGTGGCACAATCTTTATAGCAGTCATAGAAACAGTAATAATAGCTAACAGTTACTGGGGACGCAGTGCTCTAAGCGCTTTACACTGCTTTTTCCACTGAGTTCTGACACAATCATTTGAGACAGGGACTAACCAATTTAAAGGTTCAGAATCCAATGCCCAAAGATTATGGGGACAGCAAATGGGGTTGCTATGTGTGGTGGTATACTCAGTGTCCTGTGTAAAGGTGACCTAGCTAAGGTGGGTTTGAAAATCAGCCACCCACTGCTTAGCCAGTGCTGTGTCTGGGCACTAAGACTCACCTGCCTGTCCGATGCACCTGCTCAGAATACATTCCTTTTCTTAATTCACAGAAAAGGGCTGTCTGTTGCTAAGTAATGTGACCATAGGGTTTACCTGTCCCAGAGCACTCTGAGTCAACAGCAGCCCTTATATTACTAGTGTTACTTCTACTTCTTTATGGGTAAAAAACAAACAGGTAAATTACTGATCTTAGTCATCAGTCACAAAGCAAAATAAGAGAGGTCAAGCCTCTCAACTTATTCCTTAACATTTTCTTTTTTGAGGTTTCTGGGAAAAGAATTATACTCAGAAGTAGTAAGAATAATGGATGACAACTCCTCCTGTCTGCCTTTACACTGGTCACCAAGTCTAAGATACAGTTGTCATAAAATAAAAAGATTTTAAACCCCAATCACAGCATAGGGGCACCTGGGTGGCTCAGTTGGTTAAGTGTCTGCCTTCAGCTCAGCTCGTGGTCTTGGGGTCCTGGGATCAAGCCCTGTATCAGCTTCCCTGATCATCAGGGAGCCTGCTTCTCCCTCTGCCTTTCTCTGTCTCTCATGAATAAATGAATAAAATCTTAAAAAACAACACAAATCACAAGATACTCACCAATAAATGAAACATGTCGATATCTAATATGCATGGAAGGTCTCCATGGTTGTCATCTGGCACCAATGCTAAATAGTTTAAAAGATTACATTAGCATATTTCATATGCAAACATAAATATGAAATTATTTTTAAAATGCATATAACCTAGTTTAAATTTATCTTTTTATAACATGTATATGAATTTATAAGCTAGAACCTGTACATAAACAGTATTACCAAAATATTTTTCATAATGGAGAGTAGTTGCACCACTAAAAAAAAATTACAGAAGATGAGAAATTACCATAACATATATGGTACAGAGGTGTTCATACTCACATGCAAAAAGTTTACAAAAGTGTCCTTGCACCACTGAAAGTGATGCCACTGTCCAATGTGCTGCAGCAAATCTTGTTAATGACCTAAGACAGTCATCCTGAAATAAAGAGATTGATGCAATGAACAAAGAAGTCAGCATATAAGGTACATTTAATTCTTTTTTTTTTTATACATTTAATTCTTGAACAATGTAGGGGGTGGGGGAGCTGTGCCCCTTCCCGTCACATTCAGTTGGAAATCTGAATATAACCTTTCACCCCCACCAAAACTTAATTGCTGATGAGAAGCGTTACTGATGACATAGTTGACTAACACATTTTTTTATGTTACATGTATTATATATATTGTATTCTTACAATAAAAGAAGCTGGAGAAAAGGAAATACTAACAAAATCATGAAGAAGAGAAAGTACATTTATGGTACTATACACACACACACAAATTAAAAACCATGTATAAGTGAACCTGTTCAGTTCAAATTCATGTATGTTGTTCAAGGGTCAACTGTTGTTCTCTTCTTTTAGGAATCCTAGTTCAAAGCACAGCTAGTCAAAGCAAAGCTGGATGCACGTGAGATCTCTCTAGGATCTTTCTAGGGGGTATGTAACTGAATCTGTCACATCTGTAATGACATGTCTCTAACACGGAATGAATAATATCTAATTGTATGCAGAATAAACCAAAGGCATCTCCTTGAAACCAAGCTGCTGGTTCTCTATGGAAAAGGATATATGCATTGAGACAGATTATAAACAACTAAGGTGATGCAGTATTTCTTTATTTTTATTCTAAAGAGATACTCTAAAATGTGGGAAATCTTCCAAATATTGGGGAAACTATGGGCAAGAAGATGAATGTAACAAATCAGGGTGTCTGCAGCCATCAAAAATCGTTATGGGGACTATGTAACAACAATGAGAAAAATCTTGATGTAAACTGAAGAATATAACAGGAACAAAACTACATGTAAATACCAACTGTAATCAAGTTTAAACACGCTAATGGAAAAAACAGGTGGCGAACAAGAGTTTTTTTTCTTCCTGCTTAATTCTCTATTTTACAAATTTTCTTTTTTTTTTTTTTTAAAGATATTATTTATTCATTCATGAGAGAGAGAGAGAGAGAGAGGCAGAGACACAGGCAGAGGGAGAAGCAGGCTCCATGCAGGAGTCTGATGTGGGACTTGATCCCGGGTCTCCAGGATCACACCCTGGGCCAAAGGCAGGCGCTAAACCGCTGAGCCACCCAGGGATCCCCTATTTTCCAAATTTTCTGTAATGCTATTTGGTTCACCAAATATTGAGGACTAATATATGTTAGCTTTGGTTTTGAAGATCTTAAAATAAAAACTAACCCCACTTTTCCTGTACTCAAGGAGCTCACAAGAGGGATTCCACTCACAGGACTCAGAGGTTTTCCGGGAAAGCAAAGCTTGAAGAGTCATCATAAAGAGGAAGAGTCTGCTTGGGCCACTTTAGCAGAGGTGAAGGCCTGGGAGGACTGGCAATGATTCTGCCAGCGTAGACCATGGATGCAGGGATTGGCAGGAGGTGATAATGGAGAAACAGGTTAAGAAGTTTAAGAGATGGGGCACCTGGCTGGCTCAGAAGAGCATGCAACTCTTGATCTTGGAGTTGTGAGTTCAAGCTCCACACTGAGTATAGAGATTACTTACATAAATAACAAACAAACAAACAAACAAACTTTAAAAAAAGTTTAAGAGATATAGTCACTGTTACTTTTTGGAGGAACTCTTTGATATTGTATTAGGAAAAAAGATTCAGAATAGAGACTGCTATAATACTCTAGTCAAGAAATGATGTGAGGCTGAACCAGACAAGTAGGAGTATGAATGAAAAGGATAGGACAAATATATAGGAGAGGAATTCAACAAACTCTGCTGACCAACTAGATGGATAACTAGATTACCTTTTTAATAATCAACATATTACCAACTCTTACTTATTGTAGCAGAAAATATCACAGTCAACGCTGATATGTCATAACATTATATCATATACTTCATAGTTAAGAACTATCATTCTGCTGATTTACTATAAAGATACAATTCAGGACAGTTTTTTATTTTATTTATTTATTTTTTAAAAGATTTTATTTATTTATGAGAGAAAGAGAGAGAGAGAGAGAGAGAGAGAGAGAGAGAGAGAGAGAGGCAGAGACACAGGCAGAGGGAGAAGCAGGCTCCACGCAGGGAGCCCGATGTGGGACTTGATCCGGGAACTCCAGGATCACGCCCTGGGCTGAAGGCAGGCGCTAAGCTGCTGGGCCACCCAGGGATCCCCAGGACAGTTTTAATATCAAGTCTACTTCCAGATATAGCAAGTCCAAAGTGGTTTAGGTATTTCTATTTTTTTTTTTAAGATTTTATTTATTCAGGAGAAATAGAGAGAGAGAGAGAGGCAGAGACATAAGCAGAGGGAGAAGCAGGCTCCATGCAGGGAGCCCGATGTGGGACCCGATCCTGGGACCCCACCCAGGATCATGCCCTGGGCCAAAGGCAAGCGCCAAGCCGCTGAGCCACTCAGGGATCCCCAGGTATGTTCTTTTTATATTTCCAATTATAGCATTAAAAATTCAAGAACGAGAACGGTTTTTAGTTTTCCATTTTTTGCATGTTTAACCAAGATCTCTGGATGAAAAGAGCTGAAGTCTATTTAAAAAAAAATCATGGAAAATTAAACCACAAACATTACTTCTTCACTATTGTTACAGAAAATGGGCTTTACTATGAAAGGAGTGAACCTATGCTTAAATAACTATTTCAGGTTTTTAAGATTAAAAAAAGTAGAACCACTAAATTTCCATTTCACCATTCTGTGAACTGAGTAAACTGACAACTTACCAGTCTGCAAGGCAAAGGACCAAATAATGGTTTATCTTCATCACTTAAAATTCTTTCTGCAGATTAAAAATGGTTAAGATGATGAGTTTGATGTTATGTACATTTGAAAGCACAATACTGTCAGGTTCTGAAATCTTTTAAGTCATTTCACAAGAATTAACTGTGGATGAAAAGTAAAATTAAAAACACATCCTCTTAAGAAACAAGAAGTTATAAGCACCACCAAAATGAATTCTCTTGCTGTGCTTTATTTGTAAACTATCAATCTAATATTGTGTCTATATTTACTTCTTACTTCAAAGTCTTGATTTCTTTATACTTTTGCCACTTTACACATCTCATTTAAGTACAGGCTTCTACACATAATTCATGTTAGCACATGCTTGTGACTTAGCGAGAGACACAACTATAAATCTCTTACCTATGCTTTGGATGGTGTATGCACAACTACCCCAACACATTATGGGCACACGGGGATCCTCCTCATTGGGATGAACCTTTAGTCCCACCTTGTAAGTAGCAGTTCCAAATGTTGTTAGCATTTCTTTTATGCTCTCAGAATAAGGGTTCCTGAAGTAAACATGTATGGAATTAGCTTAAAACAATGTGTTCATGTTAATTAAATGGTTTAGTTTTTTTTTTTTTAAGATTTTTATTTATTTATTCATGAAAGACATACAGAGAGAGTGGCAGAGACACACAGGCAGAGGGAGAAGAAGGCTCCCTATGGGGAGCCCGATGCGGGACTTGATCCCAAGACCCCAGGATCATGACCTGAGCTGAAGGCAGATGCTCAACCACTGAGCCACTCAGGCATCCCTAATGGTTTAGTTTCTTAACAGCCATTTGCTATGTTGGAATTGAACTACTTACGCTATTTAAAAAACAGAGTGTGCAAAGCGGGAATTAAAGACATGCAAACTGTCCCTGAATAAGAGGAGTTATACTTTATTTTGGTGGGTAGGGGTGAGACCCAGGACTGAAAATAAGGTATTTGGTGGAAGCCTACATACTGAACCTTAAAAACAATCCTTGACCTCTATCTCCATTTTAAGAACACCGGCAATGTATACCCACTGCCAAAGATGTTAGTCTCTCCAGCAAAGAAGCCTTGGGGGGAGCCATTTTACAAACAGGCATCTGGGGATCCCAAGTAAGAGCAGTAGGTGCCTGATCAGTTCACAGGTCAGCAAACTCCAGCCTGCCTACCAGGCATCAATGAGCTTTTTCATGACTTACTGTGGAACAGCCACCTGAGGACCAGTACACATTTAAAGAAAGAATCAAACATCAGAGAGATAAACCTAAACAAATAGGCAGAAACAAAAAATACAGGGAAAACAGTACAGAAGCCAGCAAACCTGCAAGAAATTTAGAGGATCAGCCTAAGAGGGCCAACAGTGAGCTAACTAACAGTAGGACCGTCTCAAAGAACAGAAAAACCAAAAGAAGACTGTCTAAGAAACAAAACAATTCTCCTAACTAAAGGATATGAATCTTCAAAAAGTCAACTGAAAACGTAGTAAAATGGATGCGGAAAAGATTCATATACCAAGGAACATCACAGAGAAATTTTAGAACACTGGGAATTAAAGGGAAGTAATAGTCATAAAGGAACAGGAATCAGAATAGGATTAATTTCTCAATAGATGCTAGAATTTGGAGAACAATACTTTGAAAATCTAGGTGAAAAATTACTTCTAGCCTACCATTCTATACCCAAGCCATCAACCAAGCATATGGATAAATAATTATATTTTCAGACATGAAAAGTTAACACCCAGGCATCCTTTCTTAGGAATCTGAAGGGTCACCTGTGCAAAACAAGGGAATAAATTAAGAAAAGAGCATGATTTGAGATGCAGGGAAATATGAAGGGCATGGCCAGGCTTGGAAGTCTTAGGGTACCTTGTCCTGATCAGGGCAGGAGGACACAGGTTCCAGAACAGAAGATCATCTGATGTATCTGAGCACTGAGAAAAGTTACTGCTAGACATCTGAGAGAGCTATTACACCACGGGTGTGTGCACAGAAAAGTAATATATACATATAAAAACCAAGTACACGAAAGAAATAAGGTGATTATCAACCACCAGAAAGATAATGTTATATAAGAAAGGAAATAAAATCATAACACATAGCTTCTATTAGTAAAGACCATTAAAATGTAAAAATTGCTAACCAGTTTAATTAAAAATTGTGAAATAACTCTACTTGGATAGTCGTGAAGAGCAGTGGATAGGGTAGATAGAGGTAAGGGTTGAATTTTAAATAGTCAACAGAAAGATAATGTAATGGTGTAAAAACAATAAATCAAAAGACAGTCACCTAAGCATTTGAATTCGATATATAGAAGTAAATGGCAGAACAAACAGTATCATAGGACTAGGGATGGGGATGGAGGTAGGCAATGTGGGAGGCAAAAGACTGATGTTTTTTCTAGTTGGTAGCTTTACATGCATTATGTCACTTTATCTTCACAACGTAAGGTAGATATTAGTACTCACTTTACAGATGAGGAAACTGAGGTACAGAGAGGTCAAGCAATTTGAAAAGCATCACATAGCTAGCAACTAGTGCTGCTGGGAACTGAATCAAGCAGTTGTAGTTTGTCTATAGAACCTATACTGTACTTTATAATAAAACAGGGCTGAAAATATTCTGGCTTTGATCCTGGGTTACTATGACATTGGTGGGGCCATCACTAGAAATATGAAAGTCAGAAGGAAAGTACAGGACTTGGGGGGAGCTGAGCAGTTTGGATTTAGATGTACTGATTTGTTGCTGAGGAGAGCCAGATGAAGGGTAGAGCAGGAAGTCAGCAATGTAGACTAGGAGAGGTTGGTGAGAGGAAAGCATGTCACATGGTTCTTCAGTTTTTATCAATATACCTGCAGTAAGTATCAACATTTAATCCTTAAACCTCAGATTTCAAGATCAATGTACCATAATGTTTTGCTCCCTAGTTTGACAAATAATATTCTAACCACTAAATTTTTCAAGTGGAACAAATTCGAAAGAAATAAAATAATATACTCACTTAGGATGAAAATCAGGCCTAAACCCTTCAGGGAACTGCAATTCATCCATATTCTCTAAATTCTTTGAAGAAGCAGTATCTACAGAGATAACCATTTTATATTATTATTCATCAGTCTATAGTATTTCTATAAATTTCAGTCATAAATTTCATTCTAAATATAGGTCAAAGAAATTAAAAAATGACAGGAAAGATTACCATTAATAAAAAGTGGCCTAAGGTACATTCAAAGCATGAGAAATACTACTGCTGATTGACCGAGGCACCTTCTGCAGTCAACTATGCTTTTCCTAATAGTATAGCCACTAGAACACAGCTAGGGGAAGTAAGGAAGGTATGCTATTTTGTTTTTATAAAAACCAGTGATACAAAATTTACTCAGACTGCTTTCCCACAAGGTCGTTAAATGTAGTACATATTTATGAAACTTGGTAAGTCTTTGGTAATGCCAACAATAAAGCAAGTCAGCCCATCAAGAACTAAAGCTGGCTCTGAAACACTCAGTTACATTCCCCCACCCCCAGAAGCTCTTCAATAAAATGGGGGAATAAGTGAGAAGTATTTATTATAAACTTCACATGAGCTTGTGTGTTTTTCAAGAAATAAGGAATAATGTGGTAAGTCAAAACTAGTTCATTAAGACAAAGAAAATTAGAATAAGTCAAATTTTAAAATGAGAGGTTTCACTTTTAAATTAAAATATTCTTAATTTCTTCTGGAGCTACATTTTCCAACAATCTCAGATTTTAGGGGAAAAATGAACTTATCAGAACTTACTAGGAGTACTTTCTTCTTTCCTAAGAACCTGTAATGCTTTTATTTGCTGAGAGATTGTTCTAATCCACTGAGTCAGTTTTGGTTGGTCTGAAATATTTAACCTGCTAGAGAAGATTATAGAGACTGTTTAGTATTCTGTTGCTTAGTTTAAGATACAAAAAGACTCTATAATTATGCGCTTTATTATGCTCATGGGCATAATAGTTTAAACACACCTCCAAAAAAAAAAAGAAAAAAAAAAAGCTAGGGGAAAATTCGGTGCCTTAAAAAAATAAGAATAGATATTTGCCAATAGAAATGAAAAGATATTGTCACTATAATGCTAATAATATTATTTGTCAAAAATTTCATTTTTTCACAGTACTGGAATTTGCTAGTATTTACTGAGTGTTTATTATGTGACACTTAGTAAAAGCATTTTATAGTATTAGGTTTAATCTTCAAAATACTCTTATGAAATAGGTTACATTATTTTCCCCATTTTACAGATGAGGAAACTGAGGTTTAGAGCTATGTAACTTGATTACAACCCCATCAAGGACAGATCTAGCATTCAAACCCAGGTATATCAGACTCCAAAAAAGCCTGTATTCTTCATGAACTATGTTGTAATTGACCTTCACGGGGGGGAAAAAAAACAACTAAAGTGATGCGTGAAATACAACAAATATAATTTTCTTCTGATATGCAGGGAACCCTTAATCTAACAATGATTCATTTATCAATTCAAATGCAGACGTAAGTCATGATTTTCTGTTATGATTAAAAAGTGTGAGCTTATACTCAAATCTACTAATGTTTTAAGAAGATTTTGTGGTAGCATAAACTAAGACATCATAGTTTGAATTCCTAAAATTGAAAAGAACTTTGCTTTGAGTTGGATCCAAATAGCACAGAAATTAATAATGTTTAATATGCGCAAAACTTAAATTAGTATTTGTGCAGGTAAGGTAGACAGTGTAATTCTAAACTGAGATATAAAACCCAGTTTTGAATAGAAGAGAGTATCAAATTCATATTGAACTGAGAATGTGCAATACTTCTATTAACCAGAAACATCCTAGAAATTATGAAGTAAAAATTTTCCATTTTGAAAATGTCAACAGATTTTCATATTTTGGCCCAACTTCTGAGGTATTATCAACCAGTAGAGTGTAAAAAATTACATTTGTTAGAATATTCAATAAATTCAGTTTAAACAGCTCCTCCATCCCCCATCAATTTCCTAAGCATATCTTGCAAAGTATGAGGAAGAGATTTAGAGTCCTAGAAATAAAGGATATAGTTTTCATAAATACATGAGAATTTTACACCCTCTATAATATATTATGGGTGACCAAGAAACTATTAAATTTGGCCCGTTCCTTTCTAAAAACTAAAGTCATATTTCACAGGAATACCAAAAGAAATGACTACAAAAAAAAAGAATCTGGAAAACATTATGCGGTTACCTAGTGTGATTCTCTCCCCTCTCGTTTATCATTTCATTATTTTCAAAGGAAAACTACTGCTTAAATACAAAGGTTTATGAGCCCAAATTTACCTGTTAAAAATATTTCGTGGAGGAAGCAGCAGAGGAATTACAGTATTACTCAAGCACTCACAGAGGGGACAAAGGAATTCTCCGTTTTCCACATCATAGCTGGTATGTAAGCGCAATCTCTGTTGCCTTCGCTGTTCTTTAGCTTGAACGGAATCAAAATACCTTTACAATTAGAGAACATGAGGTATCAAAAACAATGGTAATTTTTCTCAATGAGAGCCACAAGCTTCAACGTTTTAACTAATTTGTTTCCACAAGAATTAAAATCTTCACATTTCTTGGTCTCAGTGCTGCCTTGTCACTTCCCTAGGGCTGGTGGCGACTTCCTAGCGCAAGTGCATGATCACTGAATGAGCACAGTGCTAAGATAATAGCATTGATTCGTTGGTTTTGCAGAATAGAAAGCACCAAAGTAGAACAAATTAGATGTTATCCCATCTTAGGTTGGGGAGCCAGGACAATCTCAGGAAGTAATAAGGCAAGTACTAACACCTTTCAAATCAAGAGGAACACCCTGGAAAGACATTACTCATCTAGGGTTTATGCCACCGAAAAAATCTTTTTCTTAATCCAGTTTGTTAGCTAATACAGATCCCCACATTTAAAGATATATCTGACATACTATGAAGTTTCTAAGATACTCCTTTCACATGTATGACAAAGCAACTCAATTTTAGTTGTTATTAGGTAGTGATATGCAGTTTTTTTTCTTCAGCATCTCTAGTTCTCTTTTTTTGGAATGAAATGTCTTTTACTTAAAAAGTTAATTTTGAGCCTTCGGAAAAGCTTCTCTTGACTAATATTAAGAATATAAATTACCTTTGCCAACAATGGGCATGCATAATGTGCCCACAGCTACCAGTGTGTGTTCCGCAAGACAGATCAGGGTGCATGAATAATGGATCATATTTTTCTGCATTACAAAACAAACAAACAAAAAACAAAACAAAACAAAAAACCAAGCATTTAATCTTCCTATAATAAAGGTACAACTTTAAATTGTGAAATCCTTGATAGTGTTTGTAAACTTGAAATGAAATGCTAGTTTATTCCTTTGAGATACCAGTAATTTATGCAAGACCCTGGATTACTGAGAAAGCAAGACTCTCTAATTTTCAACACCCTGAGCAAATTAAACATCCCTGATTTGTTAACTGAAACTAGAATTCTGTATTATACATCTCTACTCCTCCACGCTTTGAGGGCACCATTCCTTCCAAAATTCCTGAGCTTATTAAGTGGGAGATTCTTCCCCGAGGCTGCCTTTAATACTTTAGGATAGCTGGGTCATAAGATCTGCAACAAAAAAGTTGTTTTGGCATTAATGGGGCGCCCCCTAGAGGAGATTCTGCTTAAGACACTCATGCAAAGAATAGTCACAATCTACTGTACCAGAGCCAAAGCCAAATGCCCAGGACTAGCAGCCCAGATGGGGAAAAAGAGTAACTTAAACAGTCTTCTGTTCTGATGCTAATTTTTATATTCAAAGGAAATGATAACATGAAGACAAACTTAAGATGGGTGCCTGGCTTCTTCTTGGAATTCTCTATATAAATTATATAAATCAGTCTTAGAAATTCCATAACATTCTATAAAGAATTATTCAAGTTTTAATTTGCTTTATATACTAGAACAGTACAAATGTCATAGGATAAAAAAAGATCTTTCCCGATATAAATTGTGAAAGCATTTGGAAAACCTTAGAGCAAAAGCTTTTTCTTCACAAAATAACTAATTAAATAAAATTGATAACTTTATCTCTGGCGTGCAATGAAATTTATAAATTGCTTAGTTCAAATGATTATTTTTTAAGATGAAGCAGATCAATCTTTTGAGTGCTAGCTACACTGTAAGAAGACTTTCCTTACAAAGAAAAAGCTATCCTACCAGCAGGTTTTCAATTCTACAATGTAAAAGGCACTTGCTAAATAAGTGCTTTGGAAATTCCTAAGACACAGTTCTCACTCTCAAGAAGTTTACTGGAATTGTTGAGGCATATGACATATAAACAAGTCTAAGAGTAGAGATATAAAAGTGTCTGCAGCTTAGATGCTCCTGGAGGAATGAATGACTTATTCCCTCCTTAGCAGTTGGAAAAGGCCACTTAACTGTTCTTCCTCTTTAAGGGGCACCTGCTTCGCTCAAAGTCACACCTCTTTCCAGAGGTGGCCAACAACCAGTCACTGATCAGTGTTGGGATTTTTTTTTTTTTTTTTTTATGATAGTCACACAGAGAGAGAGAGGCAGAGACATAGGCAGAGGGAGAAACAGGCTCCATGCACGGGGAGCCTGATGTGGGACTCGATCCCGGGTCTCCAGGATCGCGCCCTGGGCCAAAGGCAGGCGCCAAACCGCTGCGCCACCCAGGGATCCCAGTGTTGGGATTTAAAGACGCAATTCCCCTTGCTCCAAATAAGGACACCTTTGAAGGGCCATCTGGCCCCAGAGTTCCAGTGGGGTGGGATGAAGCCTTTGAGGAATTGCATTAAAGCTCAACTTCTCCCTTTGCCTAAACCTGCTTCCTTCCTCTCCATTCCACAGATGTTGATTCCAAGGCTTTCCCAAATAAATGTCCTGCATCTCTACTTCAAGAGTCTGCTTTCTGGGGAACCCTATCAGTGATACTATCACTACTTTGCATCAGAATCTGGTTCAAGGACCGTTTTTCATAGGCAACTCGGTTGCCAGTGAGATTCCCAAGATCGGTTCCCAAGAGATTCCACTTTGGATTTATCCAGTAGACAAAATTATTGTTTTAGTGTGGCAACTAATTATTAGGACTTTACAAGTGTACTGAAAAATGGGAAAGACTGCTAAGTACCAAGTATGCTAACACTGTATCACAAAGAAAAGCTATCTTTTGAAAATCTGTTATTTACCAGCTATGTAATTCATGGCTGATACTTAACTTCTGGAGTGTTTCCACATCTGTCAACTGGAAAATTTTTGCCTAAGATGCCACCACACCTATGGAGTTATTATTAGCTTAATAAAATTTCTTTGCCACACTGAGCGGCAGTCACTGAGAGGGAGGAGAGGATCTAGCTATGACTTACCTGGATCCTGAATGAATTTACTCCTGTTTTTTGATAATACAGTTGATCTTTGAACAAATGCCGCCAGAACCATTGCCTTGCTCTCCACCTTCACCTCTTGCTCCTCTTGACACAATATACAGGTAACAAACTGTCTCTGTTCAGGGACCTGAGTTTGTGCTGGCCCCAAAGCTCTAAGTGTCATATTTGAAACCATAGGGCTGCAATAAAAGAATACAAGTTTCATGAATGAGCCTAAGAAGTTTCAATTTAATCATAAAGCAGTAGACTTTAGGTATGTACATATTCAACATGTGTGGTTTTGATGATTTGAACTGGTAGAAGTCACTCATATATATGAAACCATCTCCTATAACCCTCACAGCAATCCAAAATGCAACACAGAAGCCACTCAGTTAACTGAGCCTAGTACACTCATTCTTTTTTTTTTCTTAAGATTTATTTATTTGAGAGAGAGAGAGAGTGTGCGAGGTACAGAGGGAGAGAATCTCAAGGAGATTCCTGACGCAGGGCTCGATCTCACGACCCTGAGATCATAACCTGAGCCAAAATCAAGAGTTGGATGCTCTGGGCAGCCCGGTGGCTCAGCAGTTTAGTGCCGCCTTCAGCCCAGGGCCTGATCCTGGAGACCCAGGATCAAGTCCTGTGTCGGGCTCCCTGCGTGGAGCCTGCTTCTCCCTCTGCCTGTGTCTTTGCCTCTCTCTCTCTGTGTCTCTCATGAATAAATAAATAAAATCTTAAAAAAAAAAAAAAAAAAAGAGTTGGATGCTCAACGAACTGAGCCACCCAGGCGCCCCTGTGCACTCATTCTTTGAATGTCAAGGGTGTTCTGTGTGACACATCATTTTGAGCATACACATGGTATCTTATCTATAGTTGGAGATATACTCATAAACGTATACTAAAAACTAAAATTCTATGGGTAATTCCTATTCGCCTACCAATCCTTCTAAATTACTTTCAGACTAAAAGTGACTTAGAAGGAATAAAACCCAACATCTTTCCCATTTGAGAATCAATGGTCAAGAGATAAAAAAATGTTAATTATTTTTTTACCTATTATCAAGAACAGCAGAAGTAGAGGCATCTAGTTCTAATGTCTGCTGAAAGAGTTCTTTGTTCTCATCAATAAAGTGCCGCTGCATCTCAGACATCTGGGCCATGATCTTTTCTCTGCGCAGTCTGGCAATCTCAGCTTTTCTCTTCCTCTCAGCTTTGTCTTTGTCTCTTGAACTCTGAAAGTATGCTTCATTTAATTAGACCATTAGATGCCAAATTAACATTTTTGCCCCAAAGCAGAACTGTCTTGATTGTAACTACTACTTAAAAACTATTTAATAATCTTACTTATCTAAACAAGAGAAAAGATTTTTTTAGCCTGTTTTAAAAAAAAGAATAGACACAGGAAAAAAAAATTGCTACAATAAAAAGTGGCACATTGTTTGGAATTCACATTTTTTTTTGCAAATAACATCAACTACCAACTTATTACAGATAAGTTTAGTTGTTTATAGTGAACTTGCTACAATCCTTCAGTAGGACCTCATTTGCTTTTTATACCTCTTCCATTATGGTTCCTTCAGTCTCTGCCACAGGACTAGTGGATGAACTCTCTCTTATCTTCTTAATAGCATTAAAAGTCTATGACAAAAAGTATCAGTTATTTGGAAGCTATGACATATTATCAAAATTTAAAGATAACAAACACTGAATGTTTCTCATGAAAAGCAAAGTGATGCCAGAAATTGTACCTTTAATATCCATCTAATCATATCTTTGTGGACATCTAGGTAGGGAGCATTCTGTAGTGTTTCCAGCATAGCTAATATGCTAGGGGAGTTGTTTGGTGCTTCACCAGGTTCTAAGGCAGAAAAAAAATAAAAGGCACAATAACAACTAATATTTCACAGTGCTTATTACTATGCACAAGAAGATAAGGTTGCTTATAACATCATCTGCCCATCATTTATTTACAGCTCTACTTCTTAGAGATTTTCAATACTTCTTAAGAATGTGATGTATCTGTACTTAAAAACAAGTTAACAACTAGAATGCTTTAATCATTCAAAATGGACATCTTACACCAAGTGATTATTTTAACATAGCCTTTGGCAATTAAATAAAAACCCAGCTAAAAGGTCTACCTGAGATTTTAAAAAGTGTAAGAAATGAACTAGATTACAAGGGTGTGTGTGTAAAAATACATCAACTTATTTTGGCCTTTTTTTTTTTTTTAAGATTTTATTTATTTATTCATGAGGCAGAGAGAGAGAGGCAGAGATACAGGCAGAGGGAGAAGCAGGCTCTATGCAGGGAGCTTGATGTGGGACTCGATCCGGGGTCTCCAGGATCACACCCTGGGCTGCAGGCGGCACTAAATGGCTGCACCACCCGGGCTACCCTGGCCTTTTTTTTTTTTTTTTTTTAAGGTTTTAATTAATTTATTTGACAGAGAGAGCAAACACAAGCAGGGGGAGCAGCAGGCAGAGGGAGAGGGAGAAGCAGACTCCCAGCTGAGCAGAGAGCTCCACGTGGGGCTAGATCTCAGGGCCCTGGGATCGTGATCTGAGCTGAAGGCAGATGCTTAACCAACTGAGCCACCCAGGTGCCCCTTGTTTTGGCCTTTTAATAAAACCTAGATTTAAAATAAAATGCATTTCTTTTTCTGTAAGTTATTTCTTTATTTGAGGAAAAGACATATAAGTCCACATCAAGAGTACACTTAATCTAAATGTTAGCTAATTTAGTTTTATAGTAAAAAATGTCCAGTTATTGACTTTCTTGGTTTAAGTGCTGCCATTTGGGCAAAATATTCCTAAGAGGGCAAGAGATTGAACTATGTGATCTTTAATATTCTTTCAGATCTAAAGTTCTGTGGCTAATTTTAGGGACTTGACTCTAAACAGGGTTTTAATTATATAAAATGTTTAAAGAGAAATATGAGGAATGGCTAGAGAAAATGATTGTTGAAAGAAAGAGACAAAGAGAAAGAGAATCTGATGTTGTAGAGTGATGAGTGGATGAAATTATAGTTTAATACCTATAATGGGTATTACTATCGATTACACCACCTGCTGAAACTCCTAGTATAAATTCATTTAAATATCTGAGCAAATGGTGGATTGCAGGTCTGGGGCAGGGAAAGTATAAGATGAGTCTGGGGCATCTTTTGTGCCAGAAAGTAAGGTGTGCTCAAATACTGACGGGCTAGGGTCAAAAGGGCAGGGAAGCCAACTGAACAGATTCCCACTGACCAAAACTGGCAATTTGAGTATCAAAAAGAATCTTTTTTTTTTTTTAAAGGAACCTTGGTCATATGTGACTATAAAAAATAGAGTAAATGAAAACCCAAGAGTAATACTAAAAAGCAAAGCACAACAATCCTAAGTGAACAAAGAAGCCTCATAGTTGTAACCCCTGAAGGCAACTATTAGACCAAATGCTTATTCTGAAAATCAAGAGAGGAAAGGCTTTTCTTTAGAGATGAAATATGATGGGTGAAACAAATGCTTTAAAAAAGTGTGCAATTATTAAAGAAAATATAGCAAAATACTAACTACTAAGTCTAGGTGGTAGGTGTATGGATGTTTCCTGTACCAACATTTGCCTGTGTTTAAAATTTTTTTTTTTAAATTTTTTTTAATTTTTATTTATTTATGATAGAGAGAGACAGAGAGAGGCAGAGACATAGGCAGAGGGAGAAGCAGGCTCCATGCACCAGGAGCCTGATGTGGGATTCGATCCCGGGTCTCCAGGATCGCGCCCTGGGCCAAAGGCAGGCGCTAAACCACTGCGCCACCCAGGGATCCCTGTGTTTAAAATTTTTAATAAAAAGCTAAAAGAAAAGTCTCCTGGCCTTCTAATAAAAAATCACATTACTTTATATATAAAATGATAATCTAATCCTCTATTGCTAATTTTCTTATTTTTAATAATATGTCTTTATAACAGCAAGAATTTAAAAATGAAACCCTGATAGTAAACTATAGATGTGCTATACTGATTTCAAGCTAAGGACTCCTCATTAATGCTTTCAGTTTATGAATTAAAATTTATGTATTTTAAGTATGTGCAGTCCCTAAGTATTTTTATGAAAATACATCAGGATCAGGATATGATATAGTACCTTTAACACACAGATGAGTACATATAACCTCAGAAGTCTGGATTTACTATAATCTATTTAGAATCTATATGAGCAATAAGAGGTTATATTACATATTTAAAATCAGTAGTATCTTCAATTAGTTTAGTAAAAAGTATATACATACTTGATATCTTCTGAGTGAAGGTAAATGTTACTACATGCTCTTCTGTGACATTGTCTAAATGCTGTTTTTCTTCTTGTAGTGCCATTCCAATTAAATGTAACACCTTGAATAAAATGTTTTGTAACTTTTAGTAAATCAAAAATCAAGCACTTTTTGTAAAAAAAGATTTTGCTTATTTATTCATGAGAGACACAGAGAGAATGAGAGGCAGAGACACAGGCAGAAGGAGAAGTAGGCTCCATGCAGGAAGCCTGACATGGGACTCAATCCCGGGTCTCCAGGATCAGGCCCTGGGCTGAAGGTAGCGCTAAACCATAGAGCAACCCTGGCTGCCCAAGCACCTATTTTTATAAGCGGTAATAAAAAAGGATTCACCACTGAAAAAAGATAAAGCAAACTACTAAAGACTAAATGCAATAAAATAATTTGAAGTACTAATTTTTATTAAATTCAAACTCTAAATTTTGTTTTCTAATAAAAAATTCTCATTAAGGAAACAAAAATTTCCATGTCACCTAGGAAGAAAATTCAACTGCAAATTCTTAGAGTAAGTTCATGTAATACGTCCTTCTCAGTTTTATGACATCCCTACACTACAGTCTTTAAAAAAAATCTTCTAAGAATCAGTGACCAAATAATTAGAGCTGAAAGCATCCATCATGTAATGATCTAGTCTATAATATTCTCTAGTTTCTCTAAGAACTAAAAATCTTAATCATCTCAGATTCTTCCTTTCTTTCTTTCTTTCATTCTTTTTTTTTTTTAAGATTTTATTTATTTATTCATGAGAGACACAAGGAGAGAGAGGCAGAGACATAGGCAGAGGGAGAAGGCGCTCCTCACATGGAGCCCGATGCAGGACTCGATACTGGACTGGGATGATGCCCTGAGCCAAAGGCAGGCGCTCAACCGCTGAGCCACCCAGGCATCCCCATACTTTTATTTCTAATACCACATAATTTATGAAGATTTTTATAGTTCTTAAATCTCACAAAAAATCCCTTACCAGACTTCTAGGAAAATATAAAGTTACATCGATTTTATTTGCATCTTTACTGCTCTTATCCTGCTCCCCAATTTTGGAAGGAGATATGTATGTGTTGTCTATATGTTTCCCCACACAAAGAGCTACTGTGGCTGTCAGAGACTTGGATGAACTAGGTTAGCTTGAAGGACATAAAATAAATGTACATAAAAGGTAATGCTGTTCACTCCTTTCTTCTCCATCATTTCCCATAAATCTATTGCTCATATAATACTGATGGTCTCTAGTAGTATATAACTCCATGCTTTTACATTTTAAGTATATGTTTATAAACGGGAGGGGTGTGTGTGAGTATACACATATCCTAGCCAATGAGACAATTGAGTCTGCTGAAATAATGGAAAGAAAAATAGCTTTGGAGGATGGATCTGAAATAATGCTTGCTTTCATTTATATCCTGGCTTCATAGCTTTCAACCTAACGTGCCTTCAGGGAATCTGTATAAGCCTAATTTCATCATCTTTAAAATGGGGGAAAAAAAACACCTTCCCTGTAGAGTTTTAAGAATTGCAAATATTGTATGCAAAAGTACCTACCACAGAAACAGGTACAGAGTAGGCAAATTCTATTAACTGAATAATTACTATTATGTTACTTAGTAGTTGAGTAACACCAACAAGTTAACTGAATCTTACTGAAATTTGACTTCTTCATCTATGTAATGGAAAAGTTGTATCTACCCAAATGGGTGTTGGGTTCAATGAAGTAAACAATTCAACAATGACTTACATCAAAGCTGTAAAATAAAATACAAACAAGGTTCTATCACTTATTAGCTACATGACCATAAATTTTGGAGTTTTAATTTCTTCAATTGTAAAATATAGATACTGATGAACCCACAGGTTTTTTGAGGAGGTTAAATAAAAACATGTTAAAGATAACACATTACACAATTATCAGAGTACTGCATAAACAGATATCACAAATAATCAATGAGAGAAGAGTGGCCAACAAGACCAAGGTAATCACAACTAAGTGGTATAATTAAAAAATACCTGCCTGGCTCTCATTTTCATTGTCAGACACAAAAGCAGTAACAATATTACTATATTTCAAATTAAAATAACACTATGTTTTGTGCTAATTTGTCTCTGTATAGCTATTGACAAGAATATTTTGGCTTTTACTAAAAAAGCACTAAAATATAAATAATAAATGTTTTCAAACCTACCCTTTGGAGCATGGACTCAGACCAGGCATATCCGTTATGTTCTACAGCCCACTGCAGTACTGTCCTCATGATGCACAACATCACATCTGACTGCAAAATGTTTACCAGACTTGCAAATAGAGGGCAGAAAGGAGGCAAAACTGGAGGTGGAAGTGCTGAAAATAAAGTTATTATTTGGCTTCTTCTGTAGAACATGTTTTTAAAAACCCATCTTTTGATAGTCTTCACTCAAAGAATAATCATTAACATGGATCTTAAAGCTATATTTTACCTTCACAAGGTCAAATGCATAAAGACTACATAAATAGTAGTGCAGTGCAGAGGAAAGCCTTTCTTTTCCCTAAAAATGTCCTAGGATATGAGATAAAAACCACTAAGCCAGAGGTGACTCAGTACAGTCTATTTCTGTATTTGCATATTTATTAGTCTTTTGAATGTTCACTCGGAAAGCATACATTTAAATCTTCCAATTCACCAAGGGTAATCATTATAGTCAATAGAAAACAACATTTAACAAGTAGAAAAGACAAAAGATTTTTAGAAAGATTAAAAATACCTGTATCTTCCCTGTTTTGTCTTTTCAATTTCCGTTGAGCTTCCTCTGCCTAATAAAATTGGAGAGGCAATTAGTAATACACAACAACCTAATATCTACAACTACTAAGTTAATTTTTGTCATACAATTTTCTGATTTTAGAAGATATTTACCCTTATTTCTTGGCCCCCCCAAGCCCCAAATGACATATCAAGATTATTTTCCTTTCCTACACACTACCCACCCCCACCAAGCCCCAAAGAAGTTCTTTCTTATCTTAATATGCAGGGGAAACATGTATAAACCAAAACCAAAATGTTATCTAGGGTTAAGCTCTATGGCACACATCTAAAACTAAGCAAAGCTTCATGTTTAAGTTTAATTAACATCCTTTACGAAAACATATTTTAAGAGTAGACTGCTGGGGTGCCTGGGAGGGCTCAGTGGGTTAAGTGTCTGACTCTTGATTTCAGCTCAGGTCATGACCTCAGGGATCATAAGACTGAACCCCCATGTCAGGCTCTGTGCTCAGTGGGAGTCTGTTGGAGATTCTCTCCCTCTGGCCCTCCCACATGCATGTACAATTTACCTCTTTCTCAAATTATAAATAAGTAAATCTTAAAAAAAAAAAAAAAAAGGACTCCTAAAAGACAAAATTTACCTAACAATTATGAGGAAAATTCCCTAAATTACTATGGAAAAGCATAATGTTAAGTAGTAGCAATTCTGAAATGAACATAAAAGAGCTTAACTGATTATTATACAGGTTGACAATTTGTCTTCAAAAGCCAATAAAATACAATCATATGTGCGGTTATGTACATAATTATACAGATCTTATATATGTATTTAGCATACATGGCAACAGCAGGGGATGGCCCAAAATGTTAGGTGGTAATATTTTAGGTAATCTATGCTTTCTTCATTGTACCTTTTTATATTTTTTTCAAATTTCCTACAATATTTTTATTGTATTCTTTTTCAATATCTGAAAAGCAGTAAAAGTTGTTTAGGAAAAAAACAAATCAACAAACACACACAGCTCTTCCCCAGTACACTTTTAATTTTCCCATTTACCTTGGACTGCTCTGCCCTTGAAAAGTGATAGAAATACAAATTGAACTCTTTGGCACACTCTGCTTTCAGTTCATACATGCCTCGTCCTGTTAATCCAGGTTTTCTATGGAAAAAAAGTCCTTAAAATATTATTACTAAAATCACACCCTAATTTATGAGACAGTCTTAGATAACAGAATAAAAAAGCAGAGCTCTCACTGCTGATGAATGTAAAGTGGTACTATTTTCTGGGTTAATTCGGTAATCTACATCCAAAGCTCTACATGCATCATCTTATCTGACACATCCACTTTGTATCTTCATAATTAACAAAATAAGGACATTACTGTTGGAGTGGGAGCAGGAAAAAGCAGGATTGAGGAATTGCCTCAACAATCTCAAGGGGATAAACTAGTTTACCTATTGACCACTAGAGAGTGAAGGCACTATTCAGAGGCCACCTTATAATTTAGGAGGCACATTCAGATGGAAACAAAGAAAGCAGTTTTAAGAAAGCTCAATGCATTGACTTATGTCATATGCTCAGTTTATTTTTATTTTTAAAAATATTTTATTTATTTATTCATGAGAGACACAGCGAGTGAGAGGCAGAGACACAGGCAGAGTGAGAAGCAGATTCCACGCAGCGAGCCTGTTGCAGCACTCAACCCAGGGACGCCAGGATCACACTCTGGGCCGAAGATAGGTGCTCAACTGCTGAGCCACCTGGGCATCCTTCACCTGCTCAGTTTATTTATTTTTTATTTTTTAAAGATTTTATTTATTTATTCATGAGAGACACACAGAGAGAGGCAGAGACACAGGAAGAGGGAGAAGCAGGCTCCATGTAGGGAGCCCGACGTGTGACTCAATCCCGGGACTCCAGGATCACGCTCTGGGACGAAGACAGACGCTCAACCGCTGAGCCACCCAGGCGTCCCCATCTGCTCAGTTTAATGTCAATTATTTGAAACTATCAGCTAGGAACACCAGTTCTGAGCACGATGAAAATTCTCATAAACCAATTCAGGTTGATGAGTGCAGAGCTAGATCAGAAGAGTGAAACGACAGTGAGAAATGTAGTTCAGAACTATGCATCTGAAAATGTCTGTCACTCTCTGAAAGTAACAATTTCATTCTCAGTTCCATTAAAGGAAACAGTAAGAAAAATTAATATATATAAAAAAATTGAACAGGAAAGAACAGGAAGTAAACTCACTTGAAATGGGCAACTGCTTCAATTACGCTCTCCATGCCAGTCTCCTTGTTCTCCTAACAGCATGAGAAACAAGTAAGTGCATTTCATGTTAACAGTGTCTGCTAGCACGTTGAACATTGTACTTTTCTCTCCTTAGGCCTTAGATAGCAACCCATGAAGCAGGTATACTATTATCCCAATTTTTATAGGTGAGAATTCCATAGTAAACATAATCATTAATATATAACCAAGGAAATTATTTTGTAAACTAACACCCAGATTCTATAATTAGAAACAAGTTACTACCATATGGATTCAAAGTGACAGCTTTCAAAAGGAATTAAGTTAAAAACAACACAAAGTACACATAACGTTTAAACAAAATTTATATAAGATATTTATACTATTTCATGAAAATTACACTGATTCCTTATATATTTTTAGTAAAACAGCATTTTCTAAATCATATCCCATTCATAAAAATATATTAATAGGAATGCTGATTAAAGAATTCTCTGGTCAAAAATATTTGGTAAATATAGTTGCCATCACTTTGTACAAGGTATACTTTAAAATGCTGTTTTAAATTATATTCTTCTTGGGGTGCCTGGGTGGCTCAGTCAGTTAAGCATTTGACTCTTGATTTCAGCTCAGGACTTGATCTCAGGGTTATGAGACTGAGCACCTGGGTTGAGCTCTGTGCTGGACATGGAGCCTGCTTCAGAGTCTCTCTCCCTCTCTTTATTCTATAAAGTCCAAGAAAACTGTAATTGCTTCCTCATCAACAGCTCAGGATTTATTTCCTGTGTTATAAAGTTTTAAGTAATTTTTATCCTGACTAGATATTTAGTGATATTAAGAAATTATTAATTATTGTTCTTTTATCATGGCATATAGGTAGGCAGGTTTTTCTAAAAGTCCTTTTAAGACCAGTTTCTCAACCTTGGCACTACTGACATCTGGATCAGATAATTCTTTGTTGTAGGGGATCTGTCCTGTGCATTGTATTACAGGATATTTAGCTGTATCTCTGGCCTTTGCTCACTCAATGCCAGTAGCACCACACAACCCTGCCCTGAGTTATGACACTGCCAAATATATCCTAGGAGGCAAAATTGTCTCTGGTTGAGAACCACTGTTTTAATACATATACAATTCCATTTATAGATGAAATGCTAAGCCTGTTATTCTGGTTTTTTGTTTTTTGGTTAGAACAACTCAGCAAAATAAAATTCCAGTTAATTGTTGCACAACATTGTTTCACATATACATCAAACAGGCAAACTCCCCGCCCCCTAGCAACTTCAAATACAAAAAAGGAAAAGAAAAGAAACTTTTTCTTGGACTTTTTAAACTATCTCATAAAACTACTTAAATTATAGCTAAGTACATGCAAAAAAAAAAAACTACTGGAATGCTTGGAATAAGACCTTTTTTTGTTGCTGTTTTTGTTTTTACAAGATTTCTTTTTTCTCCTTTGAAATTATAATGAACATGGTCACATTGCGAGTAAAGTCAGAAGCAGGAACAGAGAATGCTCTGAAGTCTGGTTTGGTCATCTGAGGATCATTAAAAATGGCTCATCCCTAGCAATATGCACAAAAAAAATAAAATGTAAATAAAGAATACAAATTTTCCTTTAAGGTACTTTTAAGAAAAAAAAGCAGGGCCTTGGAAGTTTTGATTCTTTTTTCCTCCCCTATGGTAAACTTATTTTGTGGTTTTGGTTGGGTTATAAAGACCATGTATCATATGCCGGTAAACCGGATATATATTTTTTAAAGATTTTATTTATTTATTTGACAGAGAGAGAGAGGTGGGGGCAGTGGTGGGAGAGGGAGAGGCAGGCTCTCTGCTAGGCAGGGAGCCTGACACAGGGATTGATCCCAGAACTCTGGGATCATGACCTGACCCATAGGCAGACATTTAACCAACTAAGCCACTCAGATGCCCCTAAACCTGATATTCTTTTTTTGTTTTTTTAAAGATTTTATTTATTTATTCATGAGAGACAGGGAGAGAGAGGCAGACACTTAGGAAGAGGGAGGAGAAGCAGGTTCCATGCAGAAAGCCTGATGTGGAACTCAATGTGGGGACTCTAGGATCACGCCCTGAGCCAAAGGCAGATGGCTCAATCATTGAGCCATCCCAACTGTCCCCTAAACCTAGTATTCTTAACAAAATAACCCAGTGGGGGCGTAGGGATTTATGATTGGGGTATAAATAAAACAAGACTGGCTGAAACTGGTGATAGATTCTGTTACACTATGCTTTCTATTTCTATAGATATTTGAAACTTTTCATAACATAAAGCTTAAAGGAAGTATTACTATGCAACAAATAGAGGTTTAAATCCCAGAAGAATGAATATTAAGGTTGAAAGTTTTAATCTTGGGCAGCCCGGGTGGTTCAGCAGTTTGGCGCTGCCTTTAGCCCAGGGCGTGATCCTTGAGACGCAGGATCGAGTCCCGTGTCGGGCTCCCTGCATGGAGCCTGCTTCTCCCTCTGCCTGTCTCTCTGCCTGTCTCTCTCTGTGTGTCTCTCATGAATAAATAAATAAAATCTTAAAAAAAAAAAAAAAGAAAGTTTTAATCTTTGTTTCAAATTTGGGAAAACATTTTAAAAAGCCCAAGGAAATAAGATCTCTCCTAACTACAAGTATTGGGTATCTATCTGAAAGCCCCATTGCTGAAAAATAGTTGGCCAAAGAACCTGAGATCCTGGGACAAGAAATAGTTACAATTAGCCTCTGAATGCTCATGTGAACATTATTTTACTTTCACTAAAATGAAAGAGATGGCTTCCTAAGCAGAGTTTTGGGATGCTTCAGAAGGAAAAAGCTCTGAAAAACTTTAGTATCCTCAACATAGCTGAGCAGGTATTTCTTACTTCTCCAATATATTAAGTCATAAAGTATTATCTTCACCCGTGGTAACTTTGTAGTAAGGACTCTATAACAAGCCCTGTCTATTGGATACATAACTTCAGTTCTTAAGATCAGGTTTACTTTATTCAGCATCCTTATCTCTTCTAAGAATTCATTGTAAAAGATTCTACTTCTATGCTGCCTACTATTCCCGGTCACTAATACTCTCTTTTTTTTTCCCCCTAGTATTAAAAAAAAAAAAAAAAGTAAAGTAACCTCTGTGCCAAACATGGAGCTCGAACCCATGATGCCAAGATCAAGAGTTACATGCTCTACTGACTGAGCCAGCCAGGTGCCCCTCTAATTACTTCTAGTAAGAGTGACTAGGAATTATATGTGTCCTAGAATTATAGTCTTTACCACTGTGGAAAAGGTATACAGAAGTAAATCTAAACATAACAGCCTAACAGGTAGGGAGGAATTTCCATAAAATCTTTTGTAAGATCCAAGTACTTACATCTTCAGGTAAAGACTTCACCAATTCACTATGAGCCATAGGTTTGATGCTTAATTGATGGATAATCTCTCGCTTAATTTCATCTGTAGCATTTACCTGTCCAACTCCAGGACTAAATCTCTCTCCTATTGAGGCAGAAGTACATATACATACATTTAACATAATCATAATACTTAAGCAGCATATACTTTTAATTCATTCAACACAATATATTTTTCTTTCTGTGCAGCAGAAAAGTAATAATTAGTTTGATAACAAGCTAGGGTGAAAGCAGGCTTTGGGCAGCAGAGAGAGAACTCCGGTTCCTATTTTGAAAGAATGGGATCAGAGGCAGGAAGGGATTGGATATAGTGAATGGCTGTACCAGTAGACTGGGAGACTGCTTTTAAGCCATCTGCCACATGGTAGCAGGGAGGGAGAACCTTCCTTTGTCCTTCTACCTAGTGCTAAATAAGATCTCACCTTCTGAGACCTTTGTTAGTATCACCTTCTGAGAGTAGCCAGGATTCTCTGTTCTATGGACTACAGAGTCTAAAATAGCAGAGGAAGTAGAGAAGGTAAGGATAAAAGAATAGGAAAGATGGAGGTGACAGGACTGAAGATATAGGCAATAAGAAAAGAAATCTGCATCTATTAGCCACAAGTCTCTATTAACTTATTATCATATCTAAAGCCAAAATGACAGTTCTATAACACAAAACTATAGAAAGAAACATACCTAAGATACAAAGTAACAGTAAATAGCTCCTAAATATCCTATTCTTACTTGCTAACCTCTTCTGTCCTACTTTTTTCTCCCCAAAGAGTCTTTCAGATTATTCTGCTTCAGTTATTTGTGCTCTCTTGTTCCAAAGCACCACAACACTATCACTTTCAGTGCTACAGTAACCAGGAGTGAGAAAGAGATGGATGAATGCTCTAATCTTCCTGAAACTGAAGAACTGCTCAAACAAAAGAAACATAGCTTAGAAATTCGGAACTATTTGTTATCACAAAAGCCAATATAGTTGATAAATGTTGCAAACAATCGAAACTTACCAACAATCATTATAATGAGGTATAGCATTTCTTCTATTAGAGTATTGTTTTGCTGAACTACATCCTGTAACAAGTTGGGGGGTTGGGGAGAGAAAGTTCAGAGATAAAAATATAAAAACTGTATTATCTCAGATAATTAACATACCCAAAAAGAATGAAAGATATTTCTTCAATGATGTATTGTGGTCTTATAAAACATGCTCTTACCTTATGGGTAATCTCAGAGCTAAATCTTTTTCCATAGTCTGGAGTACTGAAAATCTGATAAAGTTCAAAGCGGCTGAGCATTATCATCAGGAAATGATTTGGATCCATCATGGAGACACCTGTCTTTTTTTTTTTTTTTTAAGTTTGAGATAAAGGAAAAGAGGGAGGTCAAAGGGGCTACTAAACAATTAGTGAAAGACATTTTGGGGAGCATAAGTGAAAATAGCTTACTTATTCACCAATCCCCATAACAGATGAAAACCCACTTAGCCAATTGCCTACCTGTGGAAGCTATAAATGTAAACAAAAATCTATGCTGGTAAAACAAAACACAGACAAAACAAAAAACCCTTTAAACCTAACGCATCAGAATAACATGGACTATATGTTCTTTTTCTTTTTAATGCTCTGAATTAACTGCAACCCATGAATTCAGTTCTGAAGTTTTATCTCAAGGCTCTCGTCACTATCTAGTAGTGTATGGACTCTGAAAGAAATGCACTATGGCCAAAAAAAAAAAAAAAGAAAAAAAAAAAGAAATGCACTATGGCAATTAAGCTTCTAGTTCTTTTTATTTACATAATATTAAACTCTAGAACTCTCAAACTAATTTTTGGTGATTATACTAACTGAAACAACAGCTTTAAAATGTTAGTTTAGTTTTAATTCTCCTTTAATTCCATTTGTATAAATTCTAAATCAACTTGGATTTAAGTTTATTTTGGGTCAATCATTTTTTAAGGACTCTGAAAGAGAGACTGTGGAAGAGAACACAAGCTGGGAGGAGGGGTAGAGAAAGAGGGAGAAGCAGGCTGCCCATTGAGCAGGGAGCCTGATGCGGGGCTTGTTCCCAGGACCCTGGGATCATGACCTGAGTCTAAGCCGCTTAACCAACTGACCCACCCAGACGACCTGAGCCAATCATTTTTGAAATTCACATTTCATAACCTTTTCTATGATTTTTATTTTAATAAATAAATTAATTTAAAAGATTTTATGTACTTATTCATGAGAGACACACAGAGAGAGGCAGAGACACAAGTAAATGGAAAGTAGGCTCCCCAAATGGTACTCCATGCCAGGACCCCAGGATCATACCCCGAGCCAAAGGTAGATGCTCAAGCACTGAGCCACTGAGGTGTCCCCTTTTCTATGATTTTTAAATCCACTCAGCAATAACATGGAAAAATTACTATGTGATAAGACTTTGTGCTATGCATAGTAGACAAAAAGGGACTAAGATATAATTGCCAAGGTTTAACGGAGAGGATAAAAAGTAAATAGGCAACTGTGATCCAGAGCTATGAATGCCATGGTAATCGGGATGAGCTCCATGCTATGGGTGTTCCCAAATGGAATACTTAGCTACATTTTTGTGTGTTGGGGAAGGCTTTCTAGAGAAAGTGACACTAAATACTAAGATATACAGGAAAACAAGTTACAAGGTGAACAGAAAAGGAAGGGGGTAGTGTAGGCAAACTAGGGAGCAAAACAAATAAATGTACAGAATTTAAGACTTAAGAAAGAACACAAGAATCTCAGGGAATTTTAACATAGTTACGTTTCATAAGCCTTGGAAATCAGTTTAAGAGGTTTGGATCTTTAACCAAAGGACAATTAAAAAAGGATGGCTTTCAGGTTTCTGACTCTAACAACTTTAAAGATTGTTGAACAATATACCAAGGTAGGAAATCCAAGATAGGAGGAGGAAGGTATGGCGGAAATAAGAGGAGTTAGTTTGAGTATGTTAAATCTGACATTTGTCCAGGAAATTGATATGGAAATGTTCTATAGCCTGTTAGTCTTATGATTGGAGCTCAGGAGACAGGGCTAGGCTGGTGTTACAGATTTGGGAGTAATCATAAGTGACTGGGTTCTGTGGAAATGACAAGAAAAAAAACATTCCTTACAACCTGTAAGTTTAATGCTTTTAATTCATTACCTGAAGCATTACTATATCCTTGTCAAACATTTCACGTCTGCATTTCACATTATGGTAGTAATAAATCTAAAAAAAAAATTATATTGGGTAATAGGTTTTTATTTGTGCAGCTCTCTCCTCTCCCCAATCCCCAAGAGCACATGAGTTTAATGCAAGTGCACATGGGCATGCACATGTACATACACACACACACAATGTGGTTTCCTTAACAGTTAATACTGTCTTAGAAGAGATTAATTAATTAGAAATTTCCAGATTTCAATGTTCATTCTATGGTTCACATTTTGCAGCCAACTTTCTGTGTTTCCTAACAAAGTTACTTTCCTGTAAGGTTTATGGCTATGAAAAATGGAAAAAAACCCCTGCACCAAGCCTTGATAATAAAACCAAAATTTCAGAGCTGTAGTAATAGAACTTTTCTTTGAAGTATAGTTGACACACAATGTTACATTAATTTCAGATGTACAACATAGTAATTGGGCAAGTCTGTATGTTATGCTATGCTCACCACAAGTGTAGCCACCATTTGTTACCATATAATTTTATCACAATACCATTGACTATATTCCCTGTGCTGTGCCTTTTATCTTTGTGACTTATTTATTCCATAATTGGAAATTTGTACCTTTCACTCTGCTTTACCCTTCTTACTCACCCCCTGACTTCTTCCCCTCTGGTAACCATCAGTTTCTAACGAACTTTCATCTTTTACCACAATTTTATTTAAATAGATGAAATCTGGATTTTTCTTATGTTTTGTTGTTCTAAAACTGTTCTAAAAATGCTCTGAAGTTAAAAATCAAGAAAATTGCGTTCATTTCTATTGTTTCTTAGCAAAGTATGAATAAAAGTTCTAATAAACTTTTTGGTTTAACATTACAGTTATCTTCTCAAACAATTTTAATATACATACACTCAACTTTCAATGACTTATGTACAACCTTCACAGATGCCAAAGGAATAGATGGATTGAAAACTCTTCATAAACTAAAAAATACTTACCTGGTTTACTAGAGAGAAGCCATTTCTCCTCCACATTCCTGCATGTACTTGGGCACATAAAACAAGACATCTAAGAGGGTGTTCTATCAACATGGGTGGGCTAAGTTCACTCTGTATATATTAAAAAAATAATAATAATAAATTTAAAAATCCACAAAAATCTCAACTCTTATTATAAATAAGATAGGGTGATAGGGATGGAAACTTTGTATAAAACAATAGTTAAAATTACTTAAAGTATGTTTGCGTGATGGTTAATTTTATGCGTCAACTTGGCTAGGCCATGGTACCTAGTTTTTGATTAATGCCAGTCTAGATGTTGGTGCGAGTATTTTGTAGAAGTGACTGATTAGCATTTAAATTAGTAGACTCTAAGTCAAGCAGATTACCCTCTGTAATGTGGTTGGACTTCATCCAATTAGTTCAAGGCCTTATAAGAAATACTGAGGTCCCCCGCAAGGATGAAGAAATTCTGTTTCCAGAAGGTCTTTGGACCTCAGGCTACAACATTAACTCTTCCTTAGGTCGTTAGTCTGTCAGACTACCACGCAGGTATATTTCAGACTTGCTAGGTCCCATAACTGCACAAGCCAATTCCTTACAATAAATCTTGTTTTTTTCTTTTTCTCTCTCCATATTTACATACCCATGTGCACATGCATGGGCACACAATCTTCAATTGGTTCTGTTTTGCTGGAGCATCCTGATTAATCAAGTTTGTTTTCAAGTGATTTCAAGTTTATGAAACATAATAGATAGGTATTTACTTTTATTTTTTTATTTTTATTTTTTAAATTTTTATTTTTTTATTTACGATAGTCATACAGAGAGAGAGAGAGAGAGAGAGAGAGAGAGAGAGAGGCAGAGACACAGGCAGAGGGAGAAGCAGGCTCCATGCACCGGGAGCCCGACGTGGGATTCGATCACGGGTCTCCAGGATCGCGCCCTGGGCCAAAGGCAGGCGCCAAACCGCTGCACCACCCAGGGATCCCGGTATTTACTTTTAAATGTTAGTATTACTTACTAGAGGTAGGAGCTCTGGAAATTTATATGCCACTTCACTTTTGCTTAATAATACATGTAAACCTGCATGGGAGAACAAACAAAAAAGTATTTCTACAACTGCAGATCATTTAGAAAAAAGTCCTAAGTGTTCACTCAACTTTGTATCTAACTACTCTTTCTCTTTGGGAACCTATCCCATTACAAATTAAGATTAAAAAATAAATTGCATCATAAATGAAGCTTTTTAAAATGAGATTCTCATGAACCTCTGTATCAAAGGTACACTTAGAGCTAGAATCCTAATTATAGGTACTAATAGACATAGATGACATTTTATAGAAGTAAATGTTAGACATACAAATACAGCAAAAGCAGTTATATAATTATCAAAGCAATTTATGCTATGCCCACTTTCGGGTCATATTTCACTGGGTTGTGGAGTTTGTTCTCATTTACAGTATAGTAGGAGAGATCCTTCTGGCAAGAAGAGAGACTTGTGGTCTGTGCTGATCCTGACCTCAGATTTAAGTTCCCCAGAACTTCCAGCATAAAATCAAAGCCTCTCTAGTTCCCAACTGCAAAGGGCTCTTGAATAGCTCAACCTTGGTTAATTCAGTTAACTAAGAATTAATTGTCCTATTTATGTTGTTGTCTACACAGAGAATGTTTTTTACAATCTTGTCAATAGATGTGGCCATATGGTCGAGTCTGGCTTGCGGCTTTCATACTCACGAAGACCCGCATCATGAGTCTCATTCTAATGACCTGCACTCAACACCTGCCACTTAACCTCCATTAGTACACACTCCAAGTTGTTCTTGAACTGTTTTGTGTATGTTTACTTTAGTAAGCTCTTCTATTAGATTATAAGCATTTAGGTCAAGCTTTATCAAATATAGTCAGTAGAATGCTCAAAAATGTCTACTGAGAAGATCTGAGAGTGATACAGATTTAGGCAGAAATGAGTACATTCTCAGAGTACTGACTGTTTTCCTTGTGGATAACTTTCAGCATTGGCTTCCATCATACAACCAGATTTCTGAAGGCAGCAAAGATTAGTAGCTGAGTTGTAAACAGGACCAACATTCCTACATTCCAGATGAATACTTTCCCACAACACCATGCTTGCCACCTGCTCATATCAAGTATCAACAGGTTCAGTGCTCACAGCACTTACAGAAACAAAACAGGGCCGGAACAAGTTACAGAAATAAGGAATTTCTTCCCACAATCACAATTGCATACTTAAGTACTTCTTTGTTGTCCTATTTGTTGCATTAGTAATATTTAGATGTCTAAATTATCTTAAATCTCCATGACTGCCAGAAGACTGTTGGAATGCTAGGCCCTAGCACCAAAAAAATGTGACAATGCTCAGGAAAATGAAAAAAAAAATGCATTCAGAAAAGAAAGGGATTATAAGTCCTTATCCCATGGACATTATAAAAGAATAATAAAGGAATACTAGGAACAGTTCTATGTTCATAAATTTGATAACTTAGATGAAATATAACAATTTCTTAAAAAACATGAACTACTAAAACTCCTACAAGGAGAAACAGATAATTAGAACTAACCTATATCCATTAAAGAAACTGATTCAATAATTAATTAACCCTCCAGGAAAAAAAAAAAGGATCAAGTCCATATGGTTTCACTGATGAATTTTACCAAACATTTAAAGAAGAAATGATATCAATTCTCCACAATCTCTAACACACATATGTACACAACCACTTTCACATCACATTATTGAACCACATACCTAAGATAAATTACAAATTCTGCAATAAGTAAAAATAACTATCTTTAGAACTCTGTTCTACTCTCAAAGTTAAAAATGGAACTACAGGGAACAGTAGTATGTGAGCAGGGTAAGAATTCCTGCAATCAAGAAATATAGAAGGAAGCTACACTGAAATGAATCTGTAGATAGAGATGGACAAGTGCATATTCAAAGTTTTTAGCTCCTGCAAGGTGGCAGCTTCAAATACTCTACCATGTATATAAAGGGCTTATAAATCAACTACTTATGACTAAAAAACGATCATTCCAATTTGGGACTCACTCTTGACCTGCTGCTTAAAAAGGTTATCAATAAATGAATAAAAAACAGCTTAGAGGGGAGAGAAAAAAAATTTAGAATGGTTTCAATTTATAAGCAATCAGTTAAGTGATAAGGTGATTTGAACCGTAACAACGCAGACTTTGACTTTTTCTTACTGCATGACATTAAGGAAGTCGCCTCTGTATCTTAGTCTTCCCATCTGGGAAGCAAATGTAATAATAATACCTACCTTATAGGCTGATATGGTAATTAAAGAAGTTAATGCTTATAAAACTCTCAGTATAATGTATAGTAAGTATTCAAGAAATATTAATCACAAACAACAATTTAAAAAATAATTTCAGGGTTCTTTTCTGGGGAGAAATGCTTTACCTGCAAGTAAGCGAGAAACTGGGAGGTGAATGCTAACTTTTTCTTGGGAAACACAGTATCTGATAGTTTCCACTGAATGTCCACAAATGCTTAATGTGATTGGTTGTTCACCATCGGTGAAACCACCATGACACTGCATCAATACAGCAAGGCATTTCTTGTAAGCTTCAATTAACACTTTTTCCTAAAAAAGAGGATTTTCTGTAAGTTACTCAAAAGTTTGGATTTCTACAATATTGAATAAGCACCTCAAATTCAACGATGAGTAAGTACCTCAGACATCAATATAGGCAAAACCAAACTCAATCTTCCTTCCCTCAACTTGGTCCCTCTTCCAGTGCCCTGTCTTAGGGAAGAACATCTCCATATAGCTGTGGAAGTCTAGAAGTTATTCCAATACTCGCCTTTCTCTCATTTCCCACTGTCCAATCAATAACCAAGCTGGCAATTTCATCTTCTAAATTTCTCTCAAACCTGGCCACTGATCATCTTCAGTAACTCAAAGGAAAGCCAACCACCTATTAAATCCCTTGTTTCTACCCTTGCTCTCCTCCATCTATTCTTACACAGAGTAATTTAAAAAAATATGTAAACTGGATCATGTCACCTTTTCTGCTTGGTAGCTGCTAGTGGCATCCCAAATCAGAATAAAACCCAAACTTCTTTCCATGACCTCCAAGGTCCTGCAAAGTCAGTCTGCCTTTCTACCTTCAACCTCTGTACTCCAACCTGAGCCTTCTCACTGCTCTTTTTCATCACAGAGCATGATGTAGTTGTCTCTCAGTCAGGAATATTCTCTACTCTTTGATCAGTTAACTGATCTATAGTTTATATCTCATAGAAGTCTTCTCTTAACTTACACAGGCTCTCATCTAGACTTTATAAAGACAGAGAACAAATGAAATAATAGTAAAGCTTTATTTCTGGATAAATTTCTTTCTTTTTTTACTTTTGGATAAATTTCTAAACTCTTTTTATATGCTCAAAATCTAGATGAGATTGTGGAAAAAATGAAGATAGCAATATAAGAGAAGAAAGAGAGTGGATTACTTCTTCCTCTATTATCCAATTTTTAAGCCCTCAGAATTTTAACTTTTATGGAATTTATAGGTAAGAGAGGAAAATCCGTTGTTTCGTAAGGTAAGTATCACCACTATCCTCTACAAATCTCCTCAGAATACTCCCCCTCATCCATTTATCTCCTACCCCCACCCCTAGAAGAAACTCACATCTAAAGCACACCAGTCCTGCATCATTGAAATGACATGTGTTAATTTCATTTGTAGTGTGAAGGCTGCCTCCCACTCTGGTTCCATTTCAATATGCTGTCCTACTTGACGTGTAATTGGATCCATTCCCTTAAAGGAAGAGAAAAGATTTTAAATGGATTAAAATTGTATTTGTCCTCTTACATAGAATTTTAAGAAATAATACAGAAAAAAAATATTGATTATAAAAACAAAGTTTTTAACAAACAGCTTCAAGTAGTCTAAGCAGTCCAATTCTCTAAATTACATTTTTATATTAACATTCTCTAAAATATAAATAAGGAGGGGCACCTGGGTAGCTCAGTCGGTTAAGCGTCTGCCTTTAGCTCAGGTTATGATCCCAGGGTCCTGGGACTGAGCCCTGTGTTGGGCTCAGCGGGAAGTCTGCTTCTTCCTCTCCCTTTGCCTCTCCCCCTGCTCACACACTCTCTCTCAAGTGACCACATAAAATCTTAAATTAATTTTGAATTCAATAATCTTGAATTATTTTTGAGGCAATCTTATATATGTTTTTTTAATAAATTAATTTTTATTGGTGCTCAATTTACCAACATACAGAATAACATCCAGTGCTCATCCCGTCAAGTGTCCCCCTCAGTGCCCGTCACCCATTCACCCCCACCCCCCGCCCTCCTCCCCAATCTTGTATATGTTTTAAACAATCTTGTATACTTCACTGCAACAATCCTTCTAATTATTTTTTAGCTCTATCATCTACAGACTAAACTGTTATAAGAAATTAGGCTTTTAGGGGATCCCTGGGTGGCTCAGAGGTTTGGGGCCTGCCTTTGGCCCAGGGAGCTATCCTGGAGGCCTGGGATCGAGTCCCACATCGGGCTCCTGGCATGGAGCCTGCTTCTCCCTCTGCCTGTGTCTCTGACTCTCTCTCTCTCTGTGTGTGTGTGTGTGAGTGTGTGTTATCGTAAATAAAAAAAAAAAAAAGAAATTAGGCTTTTAAAATGTTACTGGAATAAAGTTTTCGTATTAATTCCTAATCTGCAACTAAAAGTTCTCACAGACTAAATGAAAGCAAAAGAACCAAAAAAAAAAAAACCCTACAAAAAATACCAGAAAAAAAGCAAAACAAAAAAATAAAATGGTTTTATAAGAATATACATTTTTGAAATAATTTTATTTATTCATTTATTTTTAAGATTTTAAGAGAGACAGAGACATGGGCAGAGGAAGAAGCAGGCCCCCCATGGGGAGCCCAAAGTGGAACTCAAAACTAGGACTGTGGGATCACAACCAGAGCCAAAGGCAGACGCTCAACCACTGAGCCACCCAGGTTCCCCTTGAAATAATTTTAAATAAGACTATGTTTTAGAAGCCAGCCTAGTTACCCTCTTGGTGTGTCAGAGCTGATTAGATTACAGAAAATAGAGGACACCTCAAGTACTTAAAATGACCAAAGTTTCTACAGATAGAAAAACATACAAGTATTATAATAAATTAAATATCCATGAACCACCACCCAACATAGAAACTACAATATTTTCCAAAAATGATTAAGTAGATTTTTGCTTATTTCTTGCTTAAGAAAGCCAGATAGCTACTACAAGAATTACAATGGAACAGTTCAGAAATTTGGGGATGACATCTACCTTCTTACAGTTAAACTGGTTAAATATACGAGTTGGCTTTTTTTTTTTTTTTTTTTTTTTTTACCAGTTGGCTTCTGTTTCTAGATTCTCTTCTGTATTAGGTGTTTCCAAAAAAGAGAATTAAACAGAGGGGAGCAAGTTCTATACTGTATTATATAAATATTATATCAAGGAGAGAATTATGGAAACATTAAAAATAAAAATTAAACATAGTTAATAATACTTTCACTTAATAATTATTATTTTTTCTTTTATTACCATATCTTTTTCACTTAATAATTAAATTAATACTTTTACTTAAGCATATTAAAATATAGTATATTAAAATATAGTAAACTTGCAATCCTCAAAGAAAGAATGTTACTAGTAACCAAAAGAATAACCAAATACAAAAGAACAATAGACGCCAAAACTTTTGCTTGGATGTCATTGTTCTACATCTAAGAGTTTCCAATTAAAGACAAGCTTCTTGCTCCAAATTGTAGTCATCCAAATTATTCTTTTGGAAATGTGCCCCAAATGAAAAAAACACCTAGATAGAAAGATGTTAAGTTTAATGAATGAAGAAAAAAATAAAAGGGAAGTGCTCCTCATTAAAATGTTCCATTTATACATACCTGCATACATTTGAGTAATTCCAAAAAGGCATCAAATCCTTCTAGGAACTTCTGCCTCAGATCATCTGACCATTCAGTTGGTTTGCTAATTAACACATACCTAACAAGATAAAAATAGCAATGAACATATGGGTAAACACTGACATATTACAAGATGCAAGTGGCTGAGACAATTAAAAAAAAGCTTACTTGAGATCAAAAATAAGGCTCTGAACTCTCCTAAACTTGAAGGCTTGTAAAGCAGTATATCGTTCAAACTGAAATCTGCCCTGGGCATCTCGATGTCTCAAATGATCCATAAAAGTCTTAATGATGATGGTCATCAGGTTTTCTTCTGTGATAAGCATCCGAGCCTAGAACAAAGTGTATCAGAGTACATTGGTAATCAAAACCTACTTACTAGAAAGCTAAAAAAAAAAAAAAAGTCACCAACACTGGTTAGCTCTTTGAAGTTTAAACCCTTTTCAATGTAACTATATAGTATTATAAATGCATTACTGTGTATTTTTTTTTCAGGTTTTTTTTTTTTTTATTTTTATGATAGTTACAGAGAGAGAGAGAGAGAGGCAGAGACACAGGCAGAGGGAGAAGCAGGCTCCATGCACCGGGAGCCTGACGTGAGATTCGATCCCAGGTCTCCAGGATCGCGCCCTGGGCCAAAGGCAGGCGCCAAACCGCTGCGCCACCCAGGGATCCCATTACTGTGTATTTTTAAACAACAATTACTTACTCCAACTGCCAAGTGTATGAAGCAACAATTATATCAGGGAGAAAGATGCCAGAATATTAGGAGACAGATCCAAGACTCATTTATTCAAAGACAATTCAGGGTGGGGGTCTGAACCAGGCTGTAAATTTTTCTTAACTGAGACATTTAGACACCTATATAATGGTATGGTATAATTATTCTAGGATCCAGAGGTTCCTATCATAGATTCATTCTGTAGAACTTAGTATGAAACTGTATTTCCTCTTAATCTCCTTTTAAAATTTATTTTTTTGTTTTTACATATAGATATATATTTTTAAATAAGCAAATACATATAAATGATGCAAAAAAAGAACACACATAAAAAGTCTTCTAGCTCCCAAAGTCCCCCTTGCAAAGGCAATCTCTGTTAGCAGTTTTCTTGCATATTTTTCCAGAGATAGCATGTGTGTGTATAACACATACATATATATATACACATGTATATACGATTATAATATATGGGTTAAGTGTTACTAAGTAGATAAAAGTATGTATATATTTAATTATATCCATTTCTTGCCCTCAAAGGATAGTATATTATAAACATTATTTACACTGTTGTTTTCACTTTATGTATTTTGGAGATTATCCCATTATCGGTTCATGTAAATTTCCTCAATTCTTCATAATTCACCAGGTATGTTTTTCTATCATACTTTATTTAGTTAGCAGGCACTTCCTTACTGGTGATATGTTGTGACATTTGAGTTTTCTCCAGTCTTATGCTATTTATTACAAAAGATATTGCAACAAATATTAGCTGTGTATGATTGCAAGGATATTTATAGAATAATTTTCTAGAAGTGGAATTACTAGGTAAAAGTGTTCGCATATTATAAATTTTACTAATATCATTAAATTGTCTCCACAAAGAAGCTTACCAATTTCTATATCCATCTACTGCATGTGCCTTTCCCATCATGCTTTCAATAACACAATGCAACTTTAAACATTTTGATCTTTGCCATTCTGATGGTTTTAACTTGCATCATACTTTGAATGAAGTTGGACATTATTTTATACCAATTTGCATTTCCTTTTCTGCTCCATAATAGTCAGAAGGTCTAATATTATTTGAATACTTCATTATCACTCTGCTATAAAAGATCATGTATTTCCCCTACTTTTCTAGACAGCTAGGTTCTTTTTTTTTTTTTTTTTTCCTAGCCAGCTAGGTTCAAGGGTATTATTGGTGTTGGGGGACTATTTAACTAGGTCTCTTATTAACTAGCAGTATAGAAAGTTGCATCAAAAAGTAGGACAGGGGTGCCTGGGTGGGTGAGTCGGTTGAGCAGCCAACTTCTTCATTTTGGCTCAGGTCACTGTATCAGGGTCATGGGATCCAGCCCCATGTCAGGCTCCATACTTCTCTTCCTCTCTCTGCCTCACACCAGCTTCCAGTGCTCACATGTACTCTCTCTCTCAAATACATACATACATCTATCTTTTAAAAAGGTGTGTGTGTGTGGGGGGGAAATGGTGGGCAAAAAAGCTCAGAAGACAGAAGTCTAACAATATAGTAAAGTTGTGTTCTATTGTAAAAGTTAAGTTCTGAGGTCATAGGATAAGGAGAAAATCTACATAGTTAAATATTCCTTTGAAAACTCAAATGTCATCATCACATTGCCAGGACATAGGCCCTAGGAATCCCCAAAGTCAACAGGATTAACTTCTGTTCATTCTCCTACACAGTGAAGACTAAGGATAAGTTTGAGGAAGAGATATTGATAGGTTAAGATAAGAGGATATTCCTTTTTGTTTGCATATTTGTTGATTTTGAGAAACTTAAATGAGTATAACGCAATTTGACCCAAGGAAAATGTTCTGTAGAGCCTGCTTTACAAGACTTATAACCAATAGTTGAAGGAAGTTTGGTAGAGACAATTTAATATTGGTGGAATGTAAATCTCACCAACTAAGGCATTTATTTAGCATTTTCAGTTTCAGATGAATGTTAAATCCACTATATAATTTTGGATTGGATTCTAATTGTCATGGGTGCCAACTTAAAAAACAACAACAATTAGACATCCATTAGTACTGTCTCATTAAAACAGGGGTGTTTTTCAGGAATTTTTACTTCTAAAAAGAAAACTAAAGAAAGCATATTTTCCAAGGTTACAATAGAAAAGAAGGACAAAAAACTCTAAGTGCTTGGCTTTATCACCTTATGCCTAGATTGTTACCTACCTATTAAGGTAATCTTCAACACTAAGTATCTAATATTATTATACAGTTCTAGTACTTCTTTTCATCCTAAAAAACTGCTTGACATTTATTTATTTATTTATTAAAAAGATTTTATTTATTCATTCATGAGAGACACACAAAGAAAGAGAGAGAGAGGCAGAGACACAGGCTCAGGGAGAAGCAGCTCCATGCAGGGAGCCTGATGTGGGACCCGATCCCAGGACTCCAGGATCATGCCCTGGGCTGAAGGCGGCGCTTAAACCACTGAGCCACCCGGGCTGCCCCTGCTTGACTTTTAAATGCCTATAATTCACTTTGCTTTAAAATATACTATTGCTACTTACCTTAATTACAATTGTATTTGTCTTATGTAATTTGTATTCAATTTTGTGTTGCAAGGCTCATTACATATCTAACAATATATTCAAAATGGGCCATAGGCCCCCCCTCAAGAATCTGAAAAACTTTATTTTTTATAAAGATTTTATTTACTTATTTTGAGAGAGTGAGCGAGCAAGCAGCAGGAGGGGCAGGGGCAGAGGGAGAGAGAATCCCAAGCAGACTCCACTCTGAGCACAGAGCCTGACATGGGGCTCCATCTCACCATCCTGAGATCAGGACCTGAGCAGAAACCAAGAGTTCGATGCCCAATTGACTGAGTCACCCAAGCACCTCTCTGAAAAACTTTATTGAAAAATAATGGCCTGTGCATATACTTTAGGTTAAACTAAACATGATGGCATACAGGGTAGTGCTGACTATAAATTAGGGCACATTTAATAAAAACAAATTAGAACAAGATATTGTAATCACTTGAATTATTAGTATTGGTTCTTGATCAGGCTATTTGTAAGTGAAGACTGGATTTTCAGTTAACCCAAAAGACCATTATATGAGATTTTATCACTGATAAGAACACTTAACTAATATCCAGGCAATTGACTGGTAAGCAGGGTTAGGCAGATTAATGAATAATGCTGCTTTTTCAAAGAAACTATACATGTACTCTTCCTTCCAGTCATGATGGATTAAGCTTGAGACTGACCAACATTTACCCTAAGAACAACCAGAAAAGATCAATTAGGAAAAAAAAGTTTGAAATCATTAGAGAGCTGCTGAGGCAACAAGGATTCAAGGGGATAAAAGCATAGAGAAGGGGAATGGCAGACGGCACTAAGCCAACATCCTGCAGCTACTTTTCCTTCAGCATCTGACATTTTTGGGAGTAGGGAGAAACCGGATTGAAGATCCCAGGAAGGAGTCTGAAAAAGATGCTAATAGGGAGAGAAATCTGAGATTTTAGCTGGTGTGGGAAGTGGGGCAGCCAGGATTCTACTGAGAACAGAAGGGTGGAGATGGAGCCCAAATTTCTTCTAGTTTTCCCATAACACACCTACAAAATTCTGAAGCTGTGCAGGCCAGAAGTCTAAGAGCAGACAGACTAGAAGAGCAAAGGAGTGATGTGGCAGTTTCAGCAAACAGAGGAAACAAAACAAGTTCAGGAACCTAGAGAGGAAAGGAACTCTAGTGAACATCCTAGACTCTTGACTGGGAATGTCACAGGGGTGAGGATGACGCGGAAGACAAAGTCTTGCCAAAATAGGGGCACCTTGGGATGCCTGGATGGCTCAGAGGTTGAGCATCTGCCTTTGGCTCAGGGTGTGATCCCAAGATCCAGGATCAAGTCCCCCATCGGGCTCCTTGTGGGGAGCCTGGTTCTCCCTCTGCCTATGTCTTTGCCCCTCTCCCTGTGTGTCTCTCATGAATAAATAAATCTTAAGAAAAAAACAAACAAAAACAAAACTAACAAAAAAACAAAACAAAAAAAAGAAAAAAACAAACAAAAAACAAAAACAAAACAGGGGCAACCTGGGTGGCTCAGTGGTTGAACATCTGTCTTTGGCTCAGGTCATGATCCTGGAGTCCTGGGATAGAGTCCCGCACCAGGCTCCCCACAAGGGAGCCTGTGTCTTCCTCTGCCTTTCTCTCTGCGTCTCTCATGAATAAATAAAACCTAAAAAAAACCCAACAACCCAAAAACCAATAACCTGAAGTCATGTCAATTTCTAACTGGACTAAGGTGACTGGCCTCACTCCAGCTACCTAACATGAAGGAGAATTTTCTTAGGAGAAAGATATCATGCAGCGTCTAAGATTTTTAATAAAAAAAAAATCCTATCAGAAGGCAATGAGAAAAAAGAAATAGGGCAGAAACCATATTTGAGGAGAGAATGACTCCAAAACTTCCAAAACTGAGAAAGCCATCAGCCTAGGGATACAGTATCTACCAACACCAATATCTTTTTTAAAAAATATTTTATTTATTTATTCATGAGAGACACACAGAGAGATGCAGAGACACAGGCAGGGAGAGAAGCAGGCTTCATGCACGAAGCCTGATATGGGACTTGA